CATGGCTCAGCCTGGACTGGCAGTATCATGGACTGCATTATAGTTTCTTTTTGAGGACTTTTCCTCTATGGTTGCTGCCTTCATTTGTTAAGTTGTGTTTGGTGCTCTTAGCTTTTCAAAAGGTAAATTTAATTTTCTTGCCCTTTCTCATCATTCTCCTGTTTTCAGGTAAAATCCAGATGCTTTGAGGTTGTGGGAGGTTTACAATTTGAATAAGAGGTGTCCCCCAAAGCTCTTGTGTTAATGCAGAAAATGTTCAGAGGTAAAATTATTAGATTATGAGAGCTGTAATCTCATCAGTGGATTAATCAACTTGAAGGATTAATAATTTGAATGGACTAACTGGGTGGTAACTGTAGGCAGTAGGGTGTGGCTGGAGGAAGTTGGTCACTGAGAATGTGCCTTTGGGGTTTATATTTTGTCTCTGGCACTTTGTTGCTCGTTCTCTCTCTGCTTCCTGGCTGCCATAAGCGGTCAGCTTTCCATCACCGTGTGATTCTGACATTATATTCTCCCTCACCTCAGGCCCAGAGCAATGGAGCCAGTTGACCATGGACAGAAGCTCTGAAACTGTGAGCCCCAAATAAGCTTTTCCTCCTCTGAGTAGTTCTTGTCAGGTACTTTGGTCACAGGGATGAAAAAACTGACTAACATAGAGGTGCATGCCAGTTGTGGAGCAGGGCACACCCCTGCACACCCTTCTGCCCACCGCTTTTTTTCTCTGTAGACTTTTCCACTTTCTGTGTAGAGAAGCCACATAGCCATCAGGTATCATAATCAGCACAAGCTACTGGCCTAAATGACCATATATCCCAATTCCAAATTCCTAGCCTTTGTCCAATATGGCTAGCTTCCCAGTTGGGGAGGAGTGTCTTGAGAACAAACACAGCTTCTGGGATGCCTCTGCCGGGAAAGGAGTCTCAAAATGAGGACATCTGTCTCATTAATTCCAAAAGTTCCTACCTGGCTCATCAGCCTTTCTTGGCTATGATCACTTTCCTGCCCAAGTCTACTCCTGTCCCTGACCCTCCTGTCCTCTAATGTAGCCAGTGGCAGAACTCCAACCTTTGGTGGCAGACTATGTCTTTCTTCCCTGTGGTCTGAAGAACTCAGTGTCACTGAGCTGGGATACCTCAGTGAAGGGTGAAGGTAATGAGCAGTGTTCCTGTGAGTTGGGTCTGCTGAGAACTTGGATTGATGGTATCAAATCTGTGCATTTGGGCTAGGTATGTAGCTCAGTAGTACAGTGCTAGAGAGCTTGCCTAGCATGTGTGGAAAGGAAAGGGAGAGGCAGAGGGAAGAGAAGATTAAAAAGGTGAAAGAAAGAAAAATCTATAAAATATATGCACCTGAGTCCTGGTGGTTGGACTAATCAGGTCATGAAAACCTTACCATGAGGGTGACCCTTTTCAATATCCCTTTCCCATGTAAGTGTTGAAGGTTCACATTATGTTTTGAGTGAAATAGCGGTCGGGGTCTTGGTTAACTGACAAAGGAGTGTGGAGTAGGACCCACAGTATGGTGGATCTCCCCATCTGAACTAGGTTTCCTGGGGATATACCCCTTGATTTACTTTCATGTGCCCCACTCTGGGGTTCTGCTCTGTACTGGAGGCAGGCACCTCCTGTGAGCTGGGGAAAGCTGCAAATGTGGATGGGTATCTGCTTTCTCCAGTGGACGAAACTCATAGGGCCTGGACCTTTGGTCATGGAAGCTGTTGCTCAAGTTCTGTATGCAGAGGAACTTTTCTTCTAGGGCCTAACAATCCAAGGGGAAGCCTGGACTTGAGACCTGTGCCATGCCCTTGACTGAGCATGCTGCATTCATTACCTCAGTGCCCTGTCCCTACAATCTTTTTTTGTTCTTTTTAAAAAATATTTTTAGTTGTAGATGGACACAATACATTTATTTTGTTTATTTAGTTTTTTTATGTGGTTCTGAGGATCAAACCCAGTGTCTCACACATGCCAGGCAAACACTCTACCCTGAGCCACAACCCCAGTCCCTTACAATCTTTTCTATCCCTATAATTTTTGATTTACAAAAATATTGCAAGAACAGTACAAGAATTCCTGGATACCTTTCATCTGGGTTCCTTAAATTTGCTTTGCTGTATTTACTTTATTTTTCATATATTTAGTATGTATGTGTATGTGTGCACGCACACACAGAGACACACACACAGACACACACGCTGATGATTTAAGAGTAAGTTGTAGGGCTGGGGCTGTGGTGGAACACTTGCCTTGCATGTGTGAGGCACTGAGTTTGATCCTCAACACCACTTACAAATAAATAAATAATGTTATTGTGTCCATCTACAACTAAAAAAAAAAAAAAGAGTGAGTCTCCCTCTTAAAAAAAAAAGTAAGTTGTATACATGGTGTTCCTTTACTCCCCAAATACCTTGCATTTTCTAAAAATAAAAAAAAATTCTTACATAATGATATCACAGTAATTGAAATCAGGAAGTAAAAATAGATATAGTACAACTACATAATCTATAGATCCTACTCAGATCTCAGCCTCCCTTCAAATCTCTGCATTGCACAGTCTGTAGAATACCTTCAACCTACCGTTTCTCCTCCTTTTTGTCATTAATAATAATACACATAATCATAATTGTTGTACTTGTTAAATGCCTACAATGACTAGGCCTTGGATTCTAATCTTTTATCCCAAGCAACATGTCCTTGGAAAGGGTATTTTCCTAGCTTACCAGACTGGGGAGAGAGGGTAGAGGATAAGAGACTGAGACTCCAAGGATAATGGCTTGCTTACTTTTAGTAGTAGGCAATGATGAGGCTGAATCCAAGTTGAATGACAGATGGGACAATGGAGTAGAAGCAGGTCTTGCTTTGCAGTAAGGGGCTTGGGAAGTTTGTACAAGATTGAATGAGTCTTCCTGTAGGTAATGAAAGCTGGGCAAAGCCAGAGATAAGGGGGAAGAACTGCCAGGAGTGAAATTGGGCTGAGAGTTCATTAAGCATTTTGTATTCACATTTGAATCCCAACTCTACCTCTTACTAACAACTTTCTTAAGCTCAGTCTTTTTCTGTGGAAGATGGTAGTAACCTCTATTTTTATAAGGACTAAATGAGGTAGCACATGTAAAGTACCTGGTGTAAGAGAAACCTCAGAACAATTATTATCACATTTAAATATATTCCATCCAAGCATTGTCCTCTTGGTCCTTTTGTACAACTTTGGGTGGCAGAGAACAAGGGGCTCTAGGGATTTTCCTCACAAACAGCTCTCTCATACCCCTAGTAAGGCAACTGTGTCAGTACAGGTAGATGGCATTGTATTGATGGCATCAGTCACCAAGATTATCAGATCAGTGTGTCCACATCTGCGGGGCTGGGCATGGCCACTGCTAATGACTGTTTCTGATGTATAGCACCAAATGCTGGGGATGTGAAAAAAAAACCTTTTTACCTCTGAACTTGGGAATGCCCAGAGAAGAGGGTTGGTAAAGGGACTGTGAGTGAGTGAGCAGGCAATGGGAACATCCTTAGCCACAAGAAATATTTAGAGCACTGTTTTCCTAAACCACTGCTCTAGGGCACATCTGGCAATGTCTGGACACATTTTTAGTTGTCACAATGGGTGGTGCTGGGGTGGGGGTCCGCTACTGACACCTAGTGGACACAGGCCTGAGATATTGCCTGCAATGCACTGAACAGCCCTTTCCAATTACCCAACCCAAAATGAAATAGGGCTGGAGGTTGAGAAACTGATGTATTTTTTCCAATACATCATCTCTTTCCCATAATTTTAGTTCTGGTTGATTCTAACATGATGATTGTGTGACCATACTGCCAACTTTCAAAGACCAAGGTTTTTGATGTTTTGTCTGTTTAGCACAAGTCTAATTAAGTTGCCCAGTCTCTATCTTAACTCCTGGGCTCAACAGTCAGCTTCCCGGATAGCTAGGACTACAGGTGTGCACCATTGCACTGGGCAACAAGGTCTTTTTCAATTACATAATACCATTTAGTATACATAAAGTGGGCAAGAGGTGACACCTTCAGGGAACTGTGCCTCACTCATGTCCTTCCAGGGACTTACACTATTTCAACAGCTCAAGCAAAATTAGGTTTTCCATGTCACTGTGCACAAAACTGCTGCTTGCAGTGGGAAGCTAACCCCATTTCTGTCCCCTTTTGAAATACAGAGGACCTGCTACTCTTGAGTTCCTGTCAGTGCTGAGACACAGGCTGCCAAGTTCCCAGGTCTTGTGCTGGAGGATCTTTCCAGTTGGAAGATCTACTCCCACACGCAGCAGGCGCAGAACTGATCCAAAACCGGGAGGCACCTTCACATGCTGAAGGGGATTCTAAAAGGAAAGGTCCCTCCCTCTATTCTTTTTATTAAATTGTTGTTATTATTCTTATATGTTATACATGACAGAAGAATGCATTTCTATTCATAGTACAAAAATGGAGCACAATTTTTCATTTCTCTGGTTGTACCCAAAGTAGAGTCACACCATTCGTATCTTTATACATGTACCTAGGTAATGATGTCCACCTCATTCCACCATCTTTCCTACCCCCATGCCCCATCCCTTCCCCTCCCTCCCCTTGGCCCTCCCTCTATTCTGAAGATTTGATTTACGAAACTGCGGAGGAGTTGACGACGGTGCAGGATTTACAGAAAACAAGAATTGCTCGGGGTCTCACTGCCCAAGAGAGAGGTATGGCTGCTCTCAAGGGCTAGAAAAGGTAATAAAAACGACCTGGACGGCCCAGCACTATCATGACCGGCACAGGAGGGATCTCTGGAGCTCATCAAACCCGACAACTCAGCACAGCCCACACGTCGCCTCCTCCTGGCAGGCGGGTGGAGTTGGGCTCACATGTATGCGTTTCGCCCTTCGCGGCGTCATACTTCCGGCTCTCTCTTCTGCATCCGGGGTATGACACAAACACACTCTTCTCTTGGTCGGGCCTCGGGAGCCCGCCCAGACCGGAAGCGGAAATTAATCCCGAACTCGAAGGAGGAAGCCGGTGCGGCTCCGTCAGCAGCCAGCCGCTGGTACGCCGTGAGGCGGCGGCGGCGCCAGCGGGCGGTGGCTGCTCTGCTCTCTACAAGTGGGTCCCACGGCGGAGCCGGTAGGCGGCCCGAGGGCCTGGCGCCATGAAGCTGTACAGCCTTAGTGTCCTCTACAAAAGCGAGCCCAAAGCAGTACTGCTCAAAGCCGCTTACGACGTGTCTTCTTTCAGTTTCTTCCAGAGGTCCAGGTGAGCGGGCAGGCGGTGGTGGCCGGGCAGAGGCCGGGGGTCGGGTGAGTCCTTGAGGAGGGCCAGGTTTAGGGACAACGCCGTGAGAGCCAGGGTCCGCCTCGGCCTCCCGCAGTGGAACCTGGTCATGGCTTCTTCTTTGGTTCGGACTGTATCTCTGAGGAATCGTTTAGCACTCCCTCGTAAAAGTCTTATGTCATTCCATTACCCAGCTCTTCTTATATCATTCTGCACTGTTGTCCTGTACTCAGGGTTTTTCAAGTTTTTGCCGCATAAAAATTAGAATGGGACTTTGAAATAGGCAGATTCCCAAAGTTGACGCCCAGATGTTCTGAATTAATAGCTTGTGTCCCAGAAGAGTATATTTTAAATCAGTGTCTCGAACCCAATCAATGATTATGATCAGGAAGTCTGTGTATTATGTTTAGAGATCCACCTTTGTAATTTCTTGTGTGACTTCCCAACAATTCAGTATGAGAGATACTAGTGTATTCTTTTTTATGGTTAAAGTCAGCTACTGAAGCCCCAAGATGTTACACCGAAATGAACTGGAGTCAAACCCAGATTGTGTGCTTTTTAGTGATTGGGCGCTAATAGTACACAAGGGTTCTACGCCAAAGATTTGGAAGAAAGGTATGGGCTGTGTAGGGCTACAGGCTTTTAAATGTATCTGGAGCACTTTAATTGCAGGAAGGTATACATTAGAAGTGCCATAACATGCCCAGGCCATTTGTGGGAGCCGGTAGAGTGACTCAGGCAAAAAAAAAAAAAAGAAGGACCCTACAGGAGAACCTTGTCTCAGAGTCTGGTGGAATCTGCCATGCAAATTGTTTTCATTGCTTCAGTGCAACAATTTGTTCTTGATGAGAGTGGCCAGTGGCTTGCTGGCTGGATCTAAAACAATTATTGTTATTTTGTTGAAACTATCTGTTCCTTTTGGGGTTTTTATAAATTATTTTTTCATTGTGGTAAAATACAGATATCAAAAAATTTATCATCTTAACCATTTTTAGGTACACAACTCAGTGGTACTAAATGCATTCATGTTGTGCAACCATCAGCATCATCCATCTTTTTATCTTCTGCAACAGCCCATTTAATGCTAGTTTTCCATTCCCTCCTCCCCTATCCCTTGGCAACAGTCATTCTATTTTCTGTCTCTATGATTTTTGACTATTCTAGGGACTCATATGTAGAATAATAAGGTATTTGTCTATTTGTGTCTGGTTTATTTCACTTACTGTAATGTCTCCAAAGTTCATCCATCCTTTTTGAGACTGAGTAATATTTCACTGTATGTATTTATTACATTTTGCTTTCCCATTCATCTTTAATGGACACTTGGGTTGTTTCTACATTTTAACTATTATAAATAATGCTGCTACGAATATGGTGTATAAATATTTTCTTAAGACACTGCTTATGGTTTTCTTCAGCATATACCCAAAGGTGGAATTGGTGCCTCATCTTTGGCTCCTTCTTGAAGTTCTTAATGTTTCACTTCGTTTTACCATTGGCTTCTGTTTTCTGCTTTGTGTAATTGCATTTTTTTTGATGGAACTTTTGGTGCCAACTTGGCTCTGGTCTTTTCTGTTTTTTCCATTTATACTGAAGAGTCTCATAGATTTGACTATAGGACTTATACCTAACTTCTTGGGATCCCCACACTATTCTCAGATAACTAACACTAAAGGGACATCTCTCATTGTGTCTCTTAAAGCCATATGTGTTCCAGCTGAGTCTTTTTTTTTTTTTTGGTGAGGCCACCCATCCATCGTTTATGCCCCATGATTACCAAACTCCAAGCTCAAAACCTTTGAATAGATTCGCTGCTCTTTTGACCCTGTGTACAGGCTCTTGCAATTAATGCAAGTCTTCCTTTGTCTAATTATAGCTGTACTCTAAGCACTATGTTTAGTTTTACTGCAAAGTCTTCCTTCTTTGAACATTTTTAAAGATTGTTTTCCTCTTTCCTATGATTATTTTGATCATATCATTCCCTCATGATGATAATATGTAGTAATACTATGTGCCACACATTGTGTCAAGTTCTTTACCTGGTTAATGCATTTAACCATCACACAAATTTTGATTTTATAAATGAGTCACAGCACAGTAACTTGCTTGACATTTGAACTGGGATCCTGGAGATGGGTCTTCAGATTATGTGTGCCTCTGTGGGAGCCTTGTTTGGACTTTCATTTAAGGAATCTGTTCTGTTGGCCTTGACTGTCCTTTACATTGCTTCCCCAGTCAGAGACTCCTTAACATCTCCTATGACTGTTCCATTTTGGCCAGATGTCTCTGTTAGGACTGTTGTGAACCTTCTCTTTTCTCTCAGCCTTTGTATAAGCTGTTTCCCACTTCCTCGTCTTGGTTGTTTCCTTCTTCTTCTAATTTTTTTTAATGTTTATTTAGTTATAGATGTTTACGTAGTGCTGAGGATTGAACCCAGCACCTCACACATACGAGGCAAGCACTTTACCACTGAGCTACAGCCTCAGCCCCAGCTGTTTCCTTCTATTTCTTTAAGAGTGGGGTTTGTCCTGTGGATGAGCCCCAGCAGACCTGAGCCAGCACTTACTACAGAGGTGTGTGGCATTGCCAGGGTCTGTTGTTTGGCTACAGCAGTCACTGGTTGTATATCTTCTTGACAGATTTTGTCACTAGTGTATGTTTTATCATTCAGTGTTTATTTATTCTGTTTCTTGGAAGTTAGTGGGGTTTTGCCAGTAGAAGCTACCTCCTGCTTTTTCACTTTGTCCCAAACCATGCTCTGACCCAACTGTTAAATTTAAGGTAACCCAAAGAAAATGCCTCCAAAATCTGAAAGTGAATTGTTTTGGTGAACTAGTGGACAGACAGATATAAAATTTATTACCACCATTTAAGTCATATCTGTCATTTATTTTTTATGTGGTGCTGAGGATTGAACCCAGGGCTTCACATGTGCTAGGCAAACACTCTACCACTGAGCCATAACTCCAGCCCTGTATTTGTGTTCTTTGTAGTGGGTTTTCTGTGTGTGTGTGTGTGTGTGTACAGGTGCTTATGTATCTGTGTATGTTGTTACTACAGAGGGAAAGGAATGAAACCAAGAAGCAGTGTCTCCTTAACTTATAAGCTCAGAGGTCACTTTCCATTGTACTAGGGACAGGTGACAGGAAGAAGGTAATAAATATGTGTGTGTTTCTTAGTGTTCAGGAATTCATGACCTTCACAAGTCAACTAATTGTGGAGCGCTCAGCGAAAGGCAGCAGAGCTTCTGTCAAAGAACAAGGTAAGAGGACTCTTCAACTTCTGAGTGTGTGGAGCCTGGCTGCCACATTTTGGCAGCACACAGTTTTTTTAGCACATGGAGAGAACTACTAGGACCTCACTTCTGTGCTAGCTTATTCTCTCTTCTCTCCTCTTCCTTTTCCTATTTACACAGAATTCTATGTTCACTGTTGAAGTCTAAGCTTCCTAGATAAGATTCCAGAATCCAAAGCTTGGATTCACTTAAGATTAGGATCTGACTCTCCTGGAATAATAAACAGCGTTCATATTTCCTTTCTCCTCCAGAGTTGCAAATTCCCACCAAAAAAAGGATTTTTAGTTAGCACTAATGAGGTAATGCTTCATTCTGTGCTCCATAGATTTTGTTTTTCTTTTTATGAAAGTTTTTAGGCACTTGTTTTAGATTTTTAAGTTATATTACAGATTAGAAAAGAGTTATGGTAATTTCATTAGGCAGAAACAAAGACCATATCACATGCGCACTGACTTCAAGCCACTTGATTGTAGAGTTACTGAATTGATGATATAAATATCATTTACATCATAGGCAGTATTCAACACACACACACACACACACATACACATATATTCCACTTGAAATCCCTGCACAAAGAGCATCACAGAAGTGAAATTGAATTACAGACATTTAGTGTTCTCTTTCAGTTCTCCTTCATACTGTCTGTCCTTCCCAGCTTTATTACTTAAAGATGATTCCTTAGACACCGATTAGCTTCTTAGTTTCTGTGGAGTATGTACACTTTGACCCCATGTTTAAATCTTGCTTATTTTGGATTGTATATGAAATCTGGAAGCATATATCATAATTCCCTATCCATTTTCTGATTTCAAGGGCTCACATTCTTTCTCTTCTTATTTATTTGTTTTCCTGTTTTTCAGCATTGAAATCTTTTGAATCAAATCCTTAAGGACAAGAAGGGTCTTATTTGTAAACTGTAATCCTTTTTTTTTCTCCTTGTTTGGGGAGGTGGTTCACTGTCATTTCTGAATCCCTTCAAAGTGATGGAAATTAATAGTATTATGGATTGTGACTTGTGGAATCCCTTTTTCAAATCATACCTTTTGGTCATATGACAATTTTAGTGTAATACTGCTAGAAACCTCAGTCAGCAGTGGCTAAATTTTTTTCCTGATAGCTCTCACTAGTCCCCCACTATAGGTTGGAGCATGTTGAGCAGTATTGCCATAATTTGGCAAACTGTGGCCTGGAAGGTAATTTCCTATCTTTTGGACACTCTGAAAGGTTTTGTTTTGTTTTAAGAAAATAGAAGATTCTTGTCTTGTCTGGTCTTCCTTCAATTTGGGAGCAGCACAGAGCCTCAGAGAGGTTATGAATTGCCAAGACATAGCCAGGCCTATCCTGAGCTCAAGGAAATAACTTGGAATTCTCCTGGGGACATATTGACTGGTGGCTCACTTTAACCTTGGCTTCATAGATAAGGCATCGACTGGTCCTAAGCAGGTATTGGGCTGCACTCTGTGTTAGATCCATGTAGCTGTGCTACAGAGCCTCCACAAACCTTACCCAACAGAGTTGAGCTTCATAGTTGCTTCAGATTGGCTTCATTTGACCCAGAATGCAGGAGGGAGCATTGTGATGTTTTGATTTGGGGGATTAAAAGTAGTCCAAAACCTTCATGTCATTATTGATATGTCTGATCTCTTGTCTCCTTAGAGTATCTGTGCCATGTCTATGTTCGGAATGACAGTCTTGCAGGTGTGGTCATTGCTGACAGTGAATACCCATCCCGGGTGGCCTTTACCTTGTTGGAAAAGGTAAGTATGTGGTTTGTCTGGATTGGACTAGGATGAGGGTGGAACATCATGTACTGTGCTTAAAGCACACAGGATGATTGGTTCAAAGTCTACATGTTTTTAGCCATCTCCCCTGCCCAAACCAAGAAACAATTTGACATTCCTGCTCATGTTCCCTCACTGCTACTGACTCTGAACCTCATTTGACCCATATCCAGGCCACTGGGTGATAGTACCTTTCCTCTGGACCAAAGCCAATTGTGCCTTGGGTTTTCACAGCTCTCATCTTGCCCCCTATGCCTCTACTGAGGATCTTTCACTCTTTCTATGTTGCTCCTGCAGTCATTGCAGCTCTCTCCCCTGATGTAAGCTCTTAGCACCTGGGCATTCTATAATTTCTTGGTGGATTGCTAAATATAAACTTGATGAAAGGGGACTCATTCTGTCCCCACAGAACTAAAATACTTCCAAGTACATAAAATCCAGTAGTTGCTTAAATCCAAAGGACATAGTTCCATTTTTTGAAGAATTACTTTGGAAAATTAGAGGGCCAATGCCCTTTTCCCTGGAAATCTTGTCATTTTTAAATGTGAACACCTTTATCATTTCCCAGATGAGGTTCATCCCAAGCTGGGCATATTTTACTTTTGATTCTAGACTACTTACAATGTGTTTTAATAGTAAGAAACATTTGGAAAGAGAAACTTTAACCTAGATTGTCCCCTTGCCTTTGGATGTCCTCTTTTTCCTTCCCTGAGCTCTGGGGAGTCTGTGAACCTCATTCAGGGAAAGGTGCTCAGGAGGAAGCCCTGTCACTGAGGGTGCTGGTAAGCACAGTGGGAGACTTGTTGAGGCTCCTTTGTCTTTTAGGTACTAGATGAATTCTCCAAGCAGGTTGACAGTATAAACTGGCCAGTAGGATCCCCTGCTACAATCAACTACACAGCCCTGGATGGTCACCTTAGTAGATACCAGGTAGGTTTAAAGAAACAAACTATAGAGATTGTGTGGCCTAGAATCCACTTGATCCTAAAAAGGCCAGTCATCATGACAGTTCTGGTGACTTCTTTTGCCAATGTTCTTTCAAACCTTCTGTTTGAGGAACACAGAACATCTGCCTTCTGACTTGGGAACCCAAGCTGTAGGCAGACTTCATTTCTTTGCTGTGTGTTTAGACAGGTTGTGTCTTTTTTTACTATGAAGATTAGTCCATTTTCCTTGGTTTGAGTTTTTTTCTAGGTAATCACTCCATTACTGACTGTTCTTATTTTGGCTCTTTCCTAGAACCCCCGAGAAGCTGATCCCATGAGTAAAGTACAGGCTGAACTTGATGAGACCAAAATCATTCTGGTAAGCAGGAAGGCAGAGAACAACTCTGGGACCTGAGGGCACAGGGGCATGCTGCCAGCTGAGCACGCACAAAGCCAGCCCTTGTTTAGGTAGTGATGCGGTACTGTCAAGGAAGCAGTGACTGCCATTCTATCACCTGCATCAGAGTGTCCCTCCTGTGCCTCTTGGTTCACAGTACCCATTGTTTGACACGGATCAGATTGAGAACCAGTGCAGCCCTTGATCCTCCTTCCATGGCCACTCCTTGTCTGCAGTTACAGAGTTGCCCTCTATAGTACTTTATTCCCACCACCAGTGCCATTGTTAAGTTGGTTCTCCACTTCTGACAGGTGCCTCCCCTGGCAGTATCAGTATCGAAAGGGGCAGAGTGAAGCACACTCCACTGACCAGAGGCAGCCAAATTCTGCAATACGGGCCTATTGTAGAATGAGCTGGAACTTGCATGTTTATCTGAAATCTGATTTGGAATGGTTTGTTCTTTTTTTTTTTTTTAATTGCTTTTAACTGGTTCCCTCACTTCCTATCATCGACTAATCCGTAGCCATTGATCTGTCACTCTTCTACTTAAAATCCTTCAACAGCTGTCAAATCTACTCCAGGATAAAGTGTACACACTTATGCCTTATCCTCTCTTACACCATTGTCTGCCCAGTTTGTACATAGTGCACCATGCTGGGGGTCTTTCTGAAGGACACTGTTGCCACAGCTTGTTAAAGTGTCTCCCTGACCACCAGGTGAGCACCTGGGGCATCTTTCCATCTTTGTTCACTGTGCAATGTCTAGCTTACCCTGGTGCTTATCAGTTGATGAATGAATGTGTGGATATGAAGCCCAGAAAAAAATCCACAGCTGATGTAAAGTGCTCCTGTCCACACCCACATGGCTTCGGCAGACACTGTATCCTGGGCTCAGACTTGCTGGTTGTGGGGTTGGAGTCTTCTATTTTTTAAAACCAGCCTAGGGCTTCCACATAGGTCTCTGGCATAGAGACCTATGAATAACTTGGCTTTGAAATGAAAGTTAGATGTGACCAAAATCATTCTGGTAAGCAGGAAGGCAGAGAACAACTCTGGGACCTGAGGGCACAGGGGCATGCTGCCAGCTGAGCACGCACAAAGCCAGCCCTTGTTTAGGTAGTGATGCGGTATTGTCAAGGAAGCAGTGACTGCCATTCTATCACCTGCATCAGAGTGTCCCTCTGTGAAAGTCTTCAAGCACCTATCTTTTATATAGCCTGTTGGTCTTTCTGATCACTGAGATGATGTTTCTCCACAAGCCCTGAGTCGTCCTTGTGCTGTTTGAATCTGAGTCTGAGAAACACAGAACCTGGGATATCTACTCTCCCCTTTTTCCACTGGGGAGCAGTAAATAACCTTACCCAGTCCTGTTCTAGCTGCAGTTGTAAAATCTGGATTATTGGTGTCTGTATCTTTATTTTTTCCTCTTAATAGTTTCCCCTTAATAGGGGTTGAACCCAAGGACACTATCTCTGAACTCCATTTTGAGACAGGGTCTCACTAAGTTGCTGAAGCTATTCTTGAACTTGAGATCCTCCTGCCTCAGCTTCCCAGGTTGCTGGGATTACAGCTTGGTGTCCATATTTTAATTCAGCTAACTTTATTTTAAAAATCTGAGTTGCTTAGCTTTGCATAGGGATAAAGAACACTTGCTGATTCTTCATCCTGTACCATTTCACATGTGCATACAGCTGCCTTATCAATCATCTGGAGAAGTTGAGCTCTGCTTCTTTGCTAACTGTTGTGAGGGTATCTATCCCTCTACCCCTTGATAAAAGGTGTTCTTATTTCCTAAGTGCAGAATGATGACATTTAGAAAAGCAGGGTGAGTTCTATCACAATGCTGTCTAGTGGACATACACTGTGTATATATATGAGTCATGTGTAATTCAGAATTTTATAGGAGTCATGTTTTAGTTGTTAGTAGTTTCAAAAGTAGTTGAAATGTATTAATATTTTTATTAAACCCAATATATCCAGATATTATCTTTTAAATGTGTAGTGAGAATAAAAAGTCACTAAGAGGGTGTGATGCATGCTGAGCCTAAGTCTCTACAACCGTATGTGTTTGTACTTGAAGTACATCTCAGTTTGGACTTGCTTCATCTTTTGTACATGATAGCTCTATGTAGCTCCTGGGTTGAGACACCACAGCTTTACCAACTTGTTAGTTTCTTGCAGATGCTGTTAATAAATACTCACAACAGAAGTATTTTCTCACAGTTCTGGAGTCTTGGAATCAAAGTGTAGGCTGCTGTTTTATTCTGGAAGCTCTGAAGGGTCTGTTCTAGGCCTTATTCCAGTGTCTTGTGGTTGCTGGCAATCCTTGATGTTCCTTAGATTGTAGGTACATTGCTCCAGTCTTTGCCTCTGTTGTCACACAGCCTTTGCTGTGTGTGCCACTCTCTTTTCTCTAAATTAGGATACCAGTCATTAAATTAAGAACCTACCCTAATCCATCATGCACTTATCTTCACTAATATCATTTGCAAAGATTCTTTCCAAATAAGGTCACATTCAGAGGTTCTGGGTAGATGTAAATTTTAGGGGGGCCACTATCCAACCCAGTGCAAGTGTGCATTGTCTAGCTATGGTTTTCTCTTCCCATAGAATGCCCCACCCATCCCCCATGTAACCCATGTATGTAGATGCACACACAGTAATATATAAATATAAATAAGCATATGCATGAACTCTCCTAAATCAGTGCTTATCTGAGTATGTGCTGGGAGCAATTTTGGGAGGTATTTTTGTCTCTGGGAGAATTAGATTCTGTGGGAATGCCACCAGGTCCTATTTTATCCACTGGGATAGTAACTGTTCTGAAACGCAGTCCTAACACTTAGAGATATATCTGTGCTGGAGAGGTGGTGCTTCCCCAGCCTCAGAACTTCCGCGAAGTCTCTTGTCAACAGTTGCTTACTGAACAGAGCAAAGAGTTCTCTTTTCTCTTTTGTCCAGCATAACACCATGGAGTCTTTGTTAGAGCGAGGCGAGAAGCTTGATGACTTGGTGTCCAAATCAGAAGTACTGGGAACACAGTCCAAAGCCTTCTATAAAACTGTGAGTAGCTGCTGCCTGACTCTCCTGGGCTTCTCCCACGGGGCCGTTGTAGCTTGTTTCTTCTGATATTCTGTACTATGGTCAGACCCTTCTTCGTTCATTTAATTAGGGTGGATATGGATTTCAGTCCTTGGGGCGTGGGAGCCTAAGACAAACTTCACAGGCCCCCATAACAGCAGCAAGTTCACTCAAGCAGTTTATCTTCTCTGCTTCTGAGGCTGCACATTGCTGGTTTCTGAACCCACATTGATTCCAGTTCTTATGATCAGGAGTTTGTCCTCCTTCCTCTGTGGCTAAGCAGTTGGGCAAAAGTCCTTAAAATGCCAGCAACTCCCCTTTCTGAGGAGGTCCTTTTTCCCTTTGGAATAGCTGTTTTATTGGCAGGATGGCTCTTAAAGACTGCCTCTTTTCTTTTGGAACAGTACTCATGTCTCCCTGAGTGGATGTGGCACTTTTGACCCATTATTGAATAGTAGTAGAGATGAGTCTCCCTAGCCTTTGTACACATACTTTTGTGTGCACACTGGAGAGGTCAAGTGGGGTTAGGAGGGCAATCTATGACCAGAAAGCAAGAGAGAAAGTATAACAGCCATCTCCACAAACATGAGTAGGACCACATCTGTTCTCTGGAAGATCATGTTCTGGGAAGAAATGCTACCAACATGGTCAGATAGTGTTATTGGAAGACAAGAGTGGAGGAAATTGAGCCGATCCAATTTGCATTGTTGGTTTTTTGCTTGTACCTTGCGTAATAGGAATTTTATCCACTTTTTGATAGCATTAATAGGGTGTGGGGGGGAAAAAAAGAGGTAAGGATCCCAGACTGGAAACTGTGTGGTTGTGGACTACTGGTGGCAGCTTCCCTTGAGACCTTGAGGACAGTCCTGGTATATCTTTTCTTCCGTCCCTTTTCATATTAGTTTCTTTGTTAGACTGCTGCAGAGTCTCATCTGCCACTCCTGACAACTGCCAAGATTGGAACCCCTGCCTTCCTCAGCACCCTTTCAGTTCCCTTTGTTTCTTTCAAGGCCCGGAAACAAAATTCATGCTGTGCCATCATGTGATGCAGCCCATGGAGGCCGGCACTGGATCGTCCATCACTCATATCAGAACTGCAGTCCTGAGGAAGAAGAGATGTCCGAGAAGAGGACCTGGAGCTGTCCAGACTGGTCATTTTTATTTTGGAGTTTCCCAGAAGAAACAAGGGACAGTGGAAGGGTGGGGGAAATTCAAGTTCATATGTCTGGTTGTGATTTTTAGAAAGAATTTGAGGCCCTCAAAGGTGTATTTTTGGGAAAACGAAACCATAAACTCTGAGTGGCTCCCATAGGTGCTGAAGGGCTCATTTTCAGCTAACCCCAGAAGGCTCTATGGGAAGAAATTTAGAGCCAGCTCTTTTTTGATCCTCAGTATGCCTCTGGATTTCATTTGTGCATTAATGATATTAACTCTTCAATAAGTGGGGTGGGGGAGGGGTCCCTGATGATAGGGCTGGGGTGGGCAGAATTTGAACACTTGGGGAAAGCCTCTCCTGGGGCACCATGGGGATGGGGGTGAGCCTGTTTACCACAGTGGCCAGAGTCAGGTGGTAGGCCAGCAGTTTAGGCCTAAGGCCTGTGTGGGGGCAATGATTACTAAGTGTCACAAATTCTCAACCTGTTGTTTAGCTTGTCTTTCTGTAAGGATTGGCTTCCACCAAGGGCAGGACCCATCTAAATACCTTCTACCCCGTACTATAAAGTTGACTTGTGGGAGGTGTTTGGAAGGGGCTGAGATAGACAAGATGTGAAGATTGTGGCTCTGCCATCCAGCAGGCTGGAGTTAGGCTCAGGAAAGGGGGCTCTTGTCCTGGTATTAGCATGGTCATCTGGTAGTGCCCGTCTTCAGGGGAAGATCCACACACCGGTGCCCTCAGCTGCTCAGCATGGAGTCATAACCCGCCTTGACTTGGAATTTGACTTTGAACATTAGTATCAAAGTGGTGGGTGCTGCAGACTTTCAAAACTGGTTTTTATTTGCCTCTTCACTACAAGACTGTCTTGGCAATTGCCTGGGGCCTGCCTGTCTAAATAAGTCTTTCCTGTGGATACCAGGAGGAGGTGCCAGCAGCCTGATGCCTCCCAGCACCCACCTGAACTTCCTATGGTGGGAATTATACTGACCTGACTATGAGGCCTTCTCCTGGTCAGAGGCAGCTACGGGATTGGTCTGAACTGGTGCCCGCAGGAGCCACCTTGACCTTGAGGCCCATCTCCAGAACCAGGCTGGAACAGTCCAGGGGGTGGGCCTAGGATGTGCTAAGTACCAAACCGCTTCTTCATGCCCCACTGTGCTCAAGCTCAAGATGCCTGCTCAGAGTACACCAGGGGTTCCTGTCCTAACAGAAACCTTTGCTGGAATGATACCATCTACAAGTATTGAATCAGTGTCATCTCATCCTCAGGAGCCTTATTATGAGTTTGCCCTGCTGCTCTGAGAGCCTGCATGTGGGTGTGGGGTGGGTGGCAGGGTGGGATCTGCTGTGTGTTTTGAGATCCCTATTCCAGTTTGGTTTACCAGCCATAGCCCTTTTTCCTCTGGGCACTACTGGCCAAAGGGCTTTGGTTTTCCCCGTGGAATGGCCTGCCTGTGTTTTTTTCCTACTCTCGTAGACATCATCAGTCCAGGACCCCCTGAAAGACACAGATCTAGCCTGTGTCCTGGTACCTGAAGTGGAGTGAAGTGTGCCTGGATCCCAAAAGAAGAAATAGCATGGTTCCTCTTTCCCCTTCCTGCTCTGGAGGATATTAGGAAGTAGTGTAGGTAGGTGGAAGAGGTGTGAGATTGGGGGGAAGAGGAAGGGAGACTGGCCCACATTTGGCTGCCCTTCAGCAGGAAGGCAGGAGTGGGTGACTTGGATGGCTCACCCCACATTCCCCTGCTCTCTGTTATGTTCTAATGTTAAATCATTTGGCAAGAGTGTATTTTAATAACTACTGCCTAACTTCTGTGTTCTGTTTGAGAGGTTCCTGTCTAGATAAAGTTGTCTTTTGAAACTACAAAGTGGTCCTGGTGCTCTGTTTTTCAGCTTCAGAGGGTACCCTTTTTTCCAAAGCCCAGCTCAGCCTCCAGGGAGAGAAGCCAATGGCTATGTACCTGGGGGTCCTAAGATCTTGTCCAGAAGAGGCAGGTCCAGGCCCAGTGCCTTAACCTTTCTCCACACTTTTCTATCAGGGACCATCCCCCCCACCCCGCTTTTTTTTTTCTTTTCCCTTTTTTGCCATTAACCAGGTGAGGGAGCCCTGGAGTAGAAGCCCTATTGCCTCTGGTCTTAACTCTGACCAGGGAGCCTAGCTGGGGAAAGCTACTTTTTAGCCTCAGAGCCCTGGGGAGGAAACTAACTGGCCCAGGCCTTGCATCCCTTTGAGAGGATCTGAGAACACTCAGTTTACTACCCAGCACAAGTGGAAACTACAGCAGGACATGGGGAATCCTCCCTGAGGAGCAAAACTGAGCTGCAGGTTTGGATGTGAAGATTGAGAGTCATTTCAGCTGCTGATCATTGGAGTTCTGAGGCCTCTGCCTGTCCTGGAAGCAGCCCTGGACTCAGTGTCCCTTATCAGAGGACCTGTCATAGCTTGGGGTAACCTGAGCCTGAAGGGGAGGGGGCGCTGGGGATGCAGCCCAGTGGTAAAGCTCCCTTGGGTTCAATCCCCAGTTAAAAAAAAGTGAAATGCCTCATTGGCATCCCTGCCTGTAGTGCTTAGTGGTTAACCCCAGGGTGGTTAGCCCTGGGTGCTATCCCTAAAATTCCATCAGAGCTGCCCTGCTGGCATCTTGCAAAAAGGCCTCAGGAATAATGCATGTTGGAGGCTCAGGATCTGTAGTGTGCTGCAGCCTTCCTGAGGAAGGCCTGGCCTGGAAAGGTTCCTCTGATTACAGTGATAAACAAGCAAAGCTCTAGATACTATGTCATCACTGCACCTGCGGGTACTGGCCTAGATCTTTTTTGCACTGGCTCTTGGGATCTGCCTCCTGCTTCTCATACCTGGGAGCTTCTGACCAGGTATAGCACACAGGTCCAATAAGCTGACATCAAGGGCATCTTCACTGAGCAAGGGGGTCTGTAACAAAATGCTTAGTGAAGGAGATAACTGGAAGCTTTGGCCAGTTCTGGGGATCCCTTAGGATCCCTGTTCCTACTGGACAAGATTGATGGTATAGGGCCACTGGTCTTATCAGAAATTCCTTGGAGCCAGAAACAGTGGTGCATACCTGTGATCCTAGTTATTCAGGAGACTGAGGCTGGAGGACCCTGTGTTCCATAGGCCAGCCTGGTCAACTTAGACCCCTGTCTGAAAATTAAAATGTTTAAAAAGGGCTGGGGATGTAGCTTAGTGGTAGAGCTCTTTTCTAACATGCACAAAAGGTCCTGGGTTCAACCCTAGCACCACACACACAGACGCACAAAGTTACCTGAACCCAAGGATAGGTGTGTTTGGTATCTGGGATTGTTTTGAAGCCAATACTTCTGTCCTAGAAAGCACAAGTTATAAGGAACAGGGCAGCAGGGACAGGCCATGGGATGCAGAAATAGAGGGGAGTGGAAACGAAGATGTGTGTGGAGGACCACAAGGACTATCCAGGGTGTGTCCGGGAAACAAGAGGGCTCCAAGGCAGAAGAAAGATCCACAGAGCTCTGGAGGCACAGGTCAGGGTTGGTGTTTCTGAGGCAGGCTCTGGCAGACTTTTCACCTGAGACATAGGCTATAGCGGGAAACTGAAGGACAGCTTGGGGACAACCTGGGAACATGAAAGGCCTGGCAGAGTTTTCACAGAAAGGGATTTGCTCTGTGCTTAGACTGGAGATGTAGGGCTAAGGCCTGGGAGCCTTTCCTCTTTGCACCCAGGTCAGCCGACAGACCCTCAGCACCTGCTGACCCTGGAGGCCCATGGCTGCTCCTGGGTTGTCTCCTGGCATCCCTCTGCTCCCACCACTCTAGATCTCTGACCTGGACTCCAGGTTGTAATCTCTGTATGAAGCCTCCTGACTACAGTAGTTGCCTGATGTCCATGCTGGTCTGAGTGTCAGCTGTCTGCATAATCTATGGGAATAGAGCATGGCTGTGGCAGGCACATGTCCTCACACCCAGAATAGCCCATGTCAAATAGCATGGAGGCATAAGGAGAGACCCAAGGGGACACTCAGGGATCCTGGTCTTAGGGCTCCTTCCTGCCTAGAGGCTGCCCTTCCTGGCCTCATCTGTGTAGGCCACTGGGGTAACTAGAGAGGTCAGGGCATTGGGGATGGAGGCCTTTTGGTTCCAGTGTCTGAGGTGGACAGCCTGGAGCCCAGAGGACTTGAGAGACCTAGACACAGGGGTGAAGACAGCTGTTGCTATGACCCACTAGCCACCCTAGAGGGACATAGGGCCTCATCCCTCTGCAACATCAGGGGAGGGGCCTGAGCCAGGTCAGGGCCAGGGAGTGGATGTGGGTCTATACTGTGGGGCAAGGGGTTGGCAGGGTCCCAACATAAAGCACCCAGCTGCAGTTGAAGCAGTTTGTCCTGTTTTTCTTTTATTTGCAGTTTCCCGAGACAGAACAAAATAAGAATAATTTTTGTACACCTACAAGGCTCAGAAAGAAAAGACAATGAAACTCAGCAAAAAGAGAGAAGAGGAAGGGGCCGCCAGCACTGCAGGCAGTGACTCCCTGCAGCACTGGCCAGCGGCCAACGCCACCACCCGCAAACACCTAGCTAGCAGAGCAGGTGTGTCCTGCTCTTTAGAGAGGGTCATGCAAAAGAATTATCCCCCAGAAAAAAAAAATCCCCAAATTATCCCAGACAGGCAGCTCCGTGGAGATAACAAGGTGAGTGGGAGAAATGGGGAGGAGGCCCCAGGACGCCAGGGTGGCCGGCCGCGGGGCTGCACGCTGTCCATGGCAAGCCCTGCCGCTGTCCTGTGGCCTGAGCCACTCGCGCGGAGCCTGGCAGATGTTTACCCTGTGTCCATGGATGAGGACAGCTGTCCTGGGCACAGTATGGACGAAAGGTGGTGTCCACTGAGTGTCCATGGGTGGGCAGTCCCCTTGGAGTTTAGGATCCTGTGTCCTGTCCCCCACTCTGTGCCCCTCCCTTGACTTGATTTGTGGGGGAAGATAAAGAAAATCCTTGTTGAAAAATGACGTGAATTGAAGGTGGGCAGCATTGGGGTGGAGGCTCTTGCACCTCTGCACTCAAGGCTCCTACCCACTCCTACCAATCTGGCTTCAGACCCACCTTCCCTGGCCCAACTGCCCTGGGACTCTGTCTTTAGCCTTGCCGTGGCGCCCACCATCATAAGGGGCCGGGACCACCTCACAGTGAGCCCAGGCAACTATACCTGGGAGCACCACCGGCCCCTGGAGGCAGCACATTGTCCCTAGGGATCCTCCCTCCACCCATCAGTGTCTAGCCCCACACCCATACATCTTGCCCCCAGCCTAACCTCTTTAGGCTGCATCCCTGGCCCACCACCACCCTTGGCCTTCCACGTGCTCCTGGACGGCTCCCACAGAGACTTCTGCTCCAGGCCCAGGTAATGAAAGTACTTCTACGTCAGCAAACAACTACTCAGATCCCTGCCCAGGCAGAAGCCCAGCACCTTCTTACCCCTCTTTCAAACTTGCTGTGTCATTCAACCCAGCCCTGAGCCCCGCAGTTCCCCATCTCTGCAGATGCAGCCTGGCCTGCTCCCAGCATCCATTGTCCATCAGGGATTCCAGACCCACAGTCCTTGGTAAGGTCTGCTCCCAGCTGCCCAGGCTGAGGGAGGGCCATTGTTGTTCTGCTGCTGGCCAGCAGGGAAGGGACAGGTGCTCCAAACAACAGGGAGGCCAGCCTTTGGCTGATTCCCCTCTCCACAGCTGGACAGATCAGAGCTGCAGCCAAAGTGTCCTCTTGCCAGGCACAAGGCCTGGAGGCAAATTTTACCCTTCCACACCTCACTCCTCAAAGGACCAGAGCTGGAGCCCAGGGCCCTTGAAGCTTCTCTGGTAGCCTTGGGGGCGGTGGTCTCTTGCACGCTCAAGGGGCGAGGGGCTATCCATGCTGGATAGTGACTTGAGGAAGCCCACACCCAGCCCTTCACAGGGATGAGGGAAGGGAAGGGAAAGCAGGAACAGCAGCAACTCTCAGGCACGACTAGCGGGAAAGGAGGCAGCCCAGTGGCCCCACAACCCTCCCCAAGACACCTGACACCACAACAGCCAGGCAGCACACACAGGGCCCATGCGTTGGCGGGAGGATGCAGATGCCTGAGGTGTGGGGTGAGTGCGATACCTACAGACTAACACCGTTCAGCACGCGTGGGGGCCTCGTGGGTATGTTCATGCCCCAAGGGCTCCCCAAGGCCAGGAGCGAAACGGACACACGTGGAGCTTGGGTGGGGAGCGACCCCACAAATGCCAGATTTTTACAGCTTTTCCTTTCTTTAGTTTTTTTTTTTTTTTCTTTCCTTTTCCCATTTCATCCGATGTCAAATTTTTTTGAGTGGTTGTCGTTGTCGTCATCTTATTTTTAAAAACAAATCACGTCTGGTCTTGTTTTCTGCAGACACAGGCACCAGGGGAGGGGGCGAGGCAGACACAAACATGCGACAGGCAGGCCGTGCGCCCAAGGGCGGCCGGGCTCCAAACACCAACTCTGTCCGGTGAAACAGGCGCAGCTCTGAAACAAGGGGTGGGTCACCTTCCTCAGCACCCCACCCCTGTACCAGGCCCCCAGGCTTTGCTGTCTACAAAGAGGGCCCCCACAGGGAGTGGGCAAGTTAATGTTCACAAATGGGCCTGGCTGCGAGAGGGCTCCAGGCTCAATTACTACCTAGGCGTTGGCCCCTGTGCCTACCACAGGTGATCCCCATCTTAGGTGCTGATGAGTGGCGCTAGAGAGCCCTTCCACCATGACCCACCAAGTTCTGGCCTGCATGGCTTCTCCAGCCTCATCAGTTTCCAGCCTTCAGGGTGTGCCCTGTGACACTGCTGGCCATTGTCCCCAAGGGCCACTCACCTCACTGCAGTGGGGCCACAGGTGCTCCCGAGCAGTGGAAGTGCACATTCTGCCACTTGCCATCACGGCGGTGCCACACACGTGTCTCTTCGGACTGGCTGGTACGGGGCCGGCCCTGCCCGTCGATGTACTGTGTGAGGCGGATGTAGGCGATGCAGGCTGCGTCCTCACCAATGACGTGCACATGTGGGTTCAGGATGGTCGTGTGAATCGGCTTGCTGTTCTTGGCCAGCACTGCAGACAGGTGGGGACTTGGCACTGAAGATAACTGGTCCCTCCAGCAATTCCCCCACTCTGCATGCACTATAATCCCCCCTCCACCTCCAGCATCTGACTTGCACACCTGGCTCTCTGCCCCCACCACCTTGGCTCCCCTTCATGGGGATGATTCCATAGTTGGCCACAGCCCTGCCCCTGACTGAAGCACTTCCTTGAAGGTGCTACCCCCTCATGCCCACCCCAGTTTCCTCACTCACGGTTCTCAAAGTAGAATCTGTGGAAGTCCATCCCTTCGACCAGGTTGCCTAGAGCTTCAGGCTCAAATGAGGTCAGGCCTGGGTCACAGATTTTCCTGGGGGGCAAACCCAAGTGAGGAGGGGCCCAGTTTTCCATCCTCCTCAACAACCCCCCACCCCAGCCCCCCAGAGACTCACGCATAGGCTTCAAAGTCACCATTGTTGACGGCCTCAATGAGCTGCTCTGTGGTTTTGATAATCTCCTGCTTCCGGGCTGCAGGAAAACACTGGGATGACCACTGGGCACTGAGGTGGGGGGCCTGGGTGGAGCTTGAGCTGCAGGCTGTATCCATGTGGCAGCTCCCACCCTGGTTTCTGCTTCTGGTTTCTAGAAAGGACTCCCAGGCCCTGGCACCTGTGCCCAAACTGTCCTGATCACACCACTCCCTCCACAGTCATCAATGGCTTCCTCATTTCCAAGTGCAATAGCTCTATCTCATTTTTCTTTAAATGTTTTTAAATGACAGAAATACTTCATCTATATAACAAAATGTCTGAAAAATGCAGAAAGAGGGAAAAAAAGCCCTTTTCACAACTCGCCCCACAATGGTCCTCCTATCTCCATGGGTCCTACCTGGGCTTTCCTGTAACTTCCACCCTGACTTATCTGCCTGCTCCATCTTCCACCTGTGCCATGTTAACTTAGTAGTTCCTTCCCCCAACAACTCTTTGGCAGCTGGTAAGAGTGGTGGGTTACTAGGGGTCAGCACCAGGCAGGAGCAACCATCAGCAGACTCAGGGAGTGACTCCAAGGTCCCTGGAGGGTGAGGGGCTCCTGAACAGACTAAGGTACAAGATGGTCCACAGGAAAAAATATGCAGTCTCTGGCTACCCCATATCCTGCTTTTCCCTGGAAGCCACAGCCTATGGCTCTGCCTATTTATTATCCTAGTCCTGGGCTGGAGCCCTGGCAGACCCTTCTACCCCAACTGGCCTTAAGTCTGCTACTTCTCCTGGCTGACACTTCTCCTGGGTTCTGGCTCTAGGCTTCTAGACAGGCTCCCTAACCTCTAGGGCAATAAACTGGAAGCCCGTTTGCTACTTTAATTACAGTTTATTGCAAAATTTTTAAAGATGAAAGAAGCAGACAATAATATATCCCATGGCAGGGCTGCCTGTCACCATTCTTGCAGCACCTCTGGGACACAGGGGAACTTGTACCTGGGAGGCAGGGAGGAGGGCTAAATCCACCACTGCAGAGACACTGCCTGCTACATGGCAGCCCACGTGTGACCACATGTGCTGGCAGAAGGCATCTGTGTCTGCTTGCGAAATATGAGCTATCCTTGCTTGGTCCCTGCAGCACCTGGCCAGTGAGGGCAGAAGTTGCTCAATGGCACCTCTGAGGAGTTGGGTGCATTCATGTGTGAGAATGTGCATGTGTGCACACACATGCTTGTGCATGCAGGCAAACATGTATACCTGTGTATGAGTGCATGCATGTAGCAGTCATGCAGCGTGCATGTACACAATGCTACATACAATTACACACCTGCATGTGTGTATGTGACACAGTGCATATGAGTGCCCATATGCTGTGTCTGTGGGTACATGTCCATATGTGTGCACATGCATGCATGTTTGTGATCTGCCCCTATCTTGGAAAGGCCCTCTCTCCTGACCCAGCTGTACTTGTGCCATCATTCTGGTTCCATTTCTTGCCTGGCCTTGAGTCTAGATCATATCACTGTTTGTGTTCAGGGTAGTCTCACAGCAGGTGCCTAATCCCGCTACTCACACAATCAATTCTAGAAAGCTGGTCTCCAGGAGGAGTGGGTTGTGAGTTCCAGAAACCCTTTCCCCTCCAGTTCCTGTTCCCAGTCCCACATCTATATGCCCAGCTCTGGGAGAGTACCAGGGCTCTGTTCCAAATGTGCAACAGCTATTCAGGTCCTTAACATCTGGACCCCACCAGGGTTGCAAAATTCTAAGTGCCCATCATGCCCCACTTCACCTATTCTTTCTGGAGGTGGCTCAGAGCTTCAGGTCTGAGCTCTCCTGAACCTGCAACCAAATTCTTCCCCAGTCCCAGAGCCAGGCTCCCTGGGCTGTCGCCCCTGCCTTCCACTGCCCAGCACCTCCTGACACTTGATAATCCCCTTTTGAACAGAGCTTCTAACAGAGTGAGCTGCCCTCCTCCTGCTGCTATGCCCTCAGCACAGGGCAGAATCTGACTGGAATGGAGGACATTGTTTTGTTTCCAGTGGGCTTTGATTCTATAGTCACCTTATACTGTGGTAAGTGGAACCAATCTTTCATTTGAGGAATATAGTTTTAAACAATCTATAATTAAAAATGGGAGTCAGTGTAAAGAGAAAATGTTAAGTAAGCAGAAGAGGAGGTCCATGGTCATAGCACCAGTCAAGAGGCAGTAAACAGGGTCTCAGAGTTGGAAACAGGATCTGCTGGGAGAGCCTCCTGCCCATTCTACAGGTAAGGAAGCTGAAACCTGTGAATTGGGGCCAGACACCTCTTACCCTGAGGAATGGCTGCTGCTTAGATCCCCATGCAACCCAGCCCACTCTGTCTTCCCAAATAGCTTGTGGGTACTTTTGAGTTCTTGATGTTCAGGTCTCTGGAGAAGGAAACCACCCATGAGGGAGGGAGCAGGGCGCTCAGCATGAAGGGACGCCTGAGGCATGATGCCTGCAGCTGAAGACAAGATGCCCTGTCCCCAACAACTCAAGAAGCTCAAGTGGTGGGCAAGGTATGGCCTGGGAGGGTTTTCCCCAGCCCAGTGTGAGCCAGGGCCTCACGCTACCTGCAGCTCTCTTGCAGGAAGCCAGCAGCCTAGGGAACCCCCTCGTGTCCAAGTGGGGCTGGTGTAGAATCTGACCCCAGCTGGCTCAGAGCCCTGTCCTTCAGAATCAGCAGTGGTGGGAGGCAGGACAGCTGCCCTGGGATCAGCGTGGATCAGCCTGCCTCATGCATAATCCCCGATTAGGGGGCTAGGCCTGGGGTGCAGGGAGTACCCGGGTGGGAGGGTCTGGCCTGAGGTGGGCCAGTGGCACCTGGCTATTCACAAACTAATACAGCTGTGGGCACCTTCTCAAGAAAGGGGGGAGATTCGAAACCTGGCTGCAGAATGGCATGGAGCTGGCACTTGGTGCCCTCCTCCTTCCACAGACTTCTTTCCCTGCACTTTGCCCAGCCCTGCCCAGTTCCTTCCAGGGTAGCCAAACAGACCCTTTCTTGTAGCCCTTCCTCCTCTAGCCAAGTTCAGAACAGACCCTAAAGGAACAAGTCTATGCAATGGTCCCTCAGGTGATCCAGCCATTCATTTTCCCCACAGGCCCTTACCTAGAATAGCCACCCAGCTAACTGTACAGACCCCTATGGAAGCCCCCCTTTCTGGCTTGCCCTCCATAAGGGCAGCAGGACTCCTTAAAATCAGATGAGATGCTGCAGAAATAAATGCAAAAGGGTGCCGATACTCCCAGAAGCCCCACTTTGTGCTCACCTCAGTGCCTTTCCTATTTGCCTCCCTCATGAGCTTTAGCTGCTGTCCACCCCACGATTGACCCCCAACCCCCTCACCAGCAAGAACCTGGCCTCTTGCCTCAGCACCTCATCTCCAATCCCTCCAGCTGACCTGGAGCCCCTTTGAGACTGCAGGCTGCATACCCCCACCCTCTTGGGCCACTGCTTCTGTAGGTCTCTCTGTCTCCTCTACTCTGCCCCAGACACCTGCAGCAGTCCCCCAAGGCTGGCCTGCAGAGGGTTAGGGAGGTGGGTGGCCCCAGGCCCCACCTATCACAGGTACTCACCCAGCCACTGCCCTGCCATGCCGAGCCCCTGGCCCGGCAGCCTCTTCTCTGAGAGCATCTCAGCACCACCCCCAACTCTGTGTCTCCCTAGAGGCGGGGGTGGTGGTGGCTGCAGCCCTGGGATGTCATCCATCCCTGTAAGTGATACTGGCCGGCAGTCAGCAGACAGACTGGGGAGGCCGCCCAGTCTGCGCCTGTCTCTCCCGCCCTCTCTTGCCCCTGGCTAGCCCTCAAGTCTGCTCCCTGATGTCCAGCTGGGCAGCTGGAATGCCAGAACTTTTCAGTACCCAGGACTATGTTCTTTTCCTGCCATACTATCCACACAAGTCCACCTTCATCAGAGTGCAACCTGTACAATGTGAAGGGCCCTGGCCAAAGAATGGACCCTCTGCCTCTTGCATTGAAGATCAGCACTGCAAGGGCAGCTGCCCACTTTATTTTCCCATCAGAAGAAAGCTATGGCCCACAGGGTAGTGCACAGGTTAGCAACAAACATGTCATTTGGAATGCTTTTCCTATATGCAGGCAATCATATGCACATGTGTGCGCGCGCGGGCACTTGTGCACACACATGCACACCCGCACGCACACATGCATACACACATACTTCATGACCATAATTTGAATTTTATGAGGTCAAATGACTTCTTTATGTGCTTAAATGCAAATCTCCATGACCCAGTAGAGGGACCCTGTGTCCCCCATGTCTCCAAAAGCTAGGCCTTCCCAGAGCCAGGTTGGTGACACACCACAGCAGGGGCTCACCCCCTTTGAGCCCTCCAAACAGCTTCCAGGGCCACTCAAAGTGCTACTTACACGGGGTGGGCAGGGGGCCAGGGAGAGTCGGAGATGGGCAAGGTGGGGGGCCCACTGGCAGGGAGCCCTCAGCTTCTGGGGTACCTGAGCCCCTCCTCACCGAGTTGAGGATGTCAGAGATCCTGGGGGCTGAGTGGAACAGACAGACGTGAACACAGTGGGGTGAGGGGACATGCAAGAGAGAAAACTATGGGCTGAGAGCCAAGCCAGAGGGGGAAGACAGGGAAATATAGGAGGATGGAAGGCAGACATAGGGGGATGTGTGGGGATGTGGGAGGACAGAAGGAATGTGGGGAGCTGGCTCCAGAATGAACCAGGATGCCTTTGTCTGTCCAGGTGGGCTGAGCTGGAAGCTGCTATGGGCAGAGGGTGCCCTCCAAGGAGAGGCAACCTGGCCCAAAGGAAGCCAGAGGATATTTCTTCGTGTAACTGGCCCTTGGAAAGGGCTTGATATATGGGAAAAAATGGATGAGGAAGGGAAGGGAAATCTTTCTTTCTTTTTGGTACCAGGGATTGAACCCAAGGAAGCTTAACCATGGAGCCACATTCCCAGCCATTTTTTATATTTTATTTAGAGACAGGGTCTCACTAAGTTGCTTAATGCCTCATTGAGTTGCTGAAGCTGGCTTTGAACTTGTGATTCTCCTCCCTCAGGCTCCTGAGCCACTGGGATTACAGGTGTGTACCACTATAACCAGCTAGGGAAGGGAAATCTAAGAGGAAGCACGATCTTGGCCCATGTGGACAGCACAAGTCAGTAAAGGCTAAGCCTTTATGTCATATCTCTTTGCCTATAAACTGTGGGGACCCTGACTGGGATTCCAATTTCAGCACATTCCTCAACCCTCCACCCCTTGCTGAGGAAATTGTGCTCTGGGCTTGAGGGTACATTGGAAACCAGAGGCATCCCTGGGAGTAGGCTCCTGGGCACTGTGGCAGGGCAGGGTGAACCAGATGTGAAGTCAGCAAGGCTGGAAAATTCTCAGCAGAGATTGCCTGAGGGGGCAAGGAGGGGCCAGGCCAACTGCCCAAGTGTAGGACAGCCCTTCTGAGGGAGAGGCCTAGAGCTGACAGCGAGGTGGGCGGCGAGCAGGTGGGGAGTAGGGAGTAGGAGATGAGCCACAAAGACGGCTGGGTCCCTGGAGGCAGAAGCCAAGTAGCTGCCTTGCTGAGTTAGCGCATGTGCCCCCAGGAAGCCCAGCCAGGCTGGATACCCATTGGGCATCCTGGCCTGGGGAGAGCTGGGCCGTGCACAGCAGGTGCAGGAAGCTGTGAACGCTGGCCATTCGCAGTGAGCCCTCAGCAGGAGAGGCAGCAGGCCTGGAGGCCACTACTTACACGGGGTGGGCAGGGGGCCTAGGAGACCCGGAGACAGGCAGGGTGAAGGCCCTGCTGATAGGGGCCCCTCGGCTTCTGGGGTTCCTGAGCCCCTTCTCACCGAGTTCAGGATGTCAGAGATCCTGGGGGCTGGGTGGAACAGACAAGACATGAACATGAGGCAGACAGACGCATGAGAAGATGGCAGAGCCGAGAGGAGGGAGGAAAGTAGGGCCCTGGGCTCAGACTTCCCACATGAAGGCTATCTCAGCAGCAAGAAGTCCCCAGAATGGGGCAGAGAGTTAACTGGGCTATTCTTGGAGATCATGGTATCAAGACCTGACCCTTCAAAGCCTCCCAGACTGCCCAGAGGCAGGCTGTGAGCAGGAAGGTAGGCTGGGACAGTTTCCCCATAGACAGAGACCTCTGGCCCTGGCTTATATGGAGGTGGCATTCACTGGGCAAAGGCAGCTCTGGGAGCCTGATGTAGAGGCCAAGGGCTGAATCAGGCTGGAGCCATTGGTCCAAGCTCAGTCCCCCCCACTTGGTTCTTGAGTAGCCCTTCAGAGAGGATTGCCAGGCCCTTCAAAGTGATCCCGGCAGCAGCAGGGCCCGGGCTACTTACATGGGGCTGGCAGGGGGCTAATAGGAGTTGAAGATGGGCAGGGCAGGGGCCCCTCAGCTTCTGGGGCTCCCGAGCCTCTCCTCACCGAGCTTAGGACATCAGTGACCCTGGGGCCTGGGGTGAACAGAGGAAGGTGGGTAGGCGGCAGGCACTTAGGAAAGGGGGCAGCAGAGGCCCCATAATGGGCTAGAAAGGGGAGGAGGGAGGTTATCACTGAACCCCAGACCACTGCTGGGAGCTGGAGGGTGAACAGAGGTGGGTGAGGAGGGTCATCTTTTGGGGCCACCCACTGGGGTCAGGAAGCCTCATTTGGTGGCCCCTGGCCAGGACCTGTAGAATCAGGAAGTGGGAATGACAATCACCACAAGGCATTGTGGCCACTGGGCCTGTCCTGGCTGAGGTGAGAGAGGCCCAGTGGTCCTGTTCTGCAGCCCCAGGACCTGCCCCATATTAGTTTCCTGCCTTGTCTCTGAGCCTTATCCTGTCCCCCTTGTCCTCTTCTATCTCTCTGCAAAACTGAGGCTCAGCCACCTTTGTTATTGCCCCATGCTGAGGGCACAATCTTAAACAGGGAAGTATGAGTGTCTTCATACTGCTGACTTCAGGGCCTGTTTCAATCTGTGGGGGAATGACACAGATGTCCACTGTCCTGTGTCAAGGGTCCAAAGCCCTATGCTTACCTCACTCTGAAGCTTGAGGGACATTCAGGAATAACATCACAGCTGGATGGGGCGGGTAGGATCAGAACCCCCATCCGACCCCTGGGGCTATCCTAAAGGGCAGCTGATGGACTATGTAATAGGTAGCCTGGAGTGCTACCAGGCTACTTCTGGGGAGTTGGACAAGGCAGAAGAGAGGCTGGGGGACCACTCGATGGTGCCAGGTGCCTTGTGGTCTTTGGGAGGAACACACAAGGCTGTGCTCTGCAGGAAGAGCTTTGGGATCAGGGTATAACACTGAAGCCCACCACAGGGAGGGGGGATGCTCCCAGGAAACGAAGCATGGTTCAGTCACCCAGCCACTCACCAGTGCAAGATGGACGGAATCACAAGCTTAAGGAACTTTAAGAGAAGAACAACATCTTGAGCAAATTCTACCCTCATACTTGGTCCCCCATGGGAACTGAGCTCCTGGCTCCCAGAACAGAACAAGCCCCAATTCATGGCCATGGCTTCCTCACTTAGACAGGGTACTTGAGAAGCCTGGTGGTGGTCTCAAAGCTGCTTCTTGTCCACACTGGGCAGCCTCTAACACCAGGTCCTAAGCTGCTGTGTTGTAGGACACTGGACCCCCTGAAGGCTTATCCACCCCAAAGAGTAACCCAGCATGGATGGGCTAGGTCTCTGGCAGGTACCTTTAGCATCTTCATCCTCTATGGTTGTGTTGGTGCTGTCAGAAGATTCCTGAGGAAACACGGGAGGTTCAGGTCAGGATGTGATTGAGGATAGAAGGGATACAGCCAGCAGTGGGATTAGCCAAGGGCTCTGGGTCAGGCCTGCGGTGGCAGGCCTTGGGGCCCCCCAAATCTCATGGAGCAGTAACTGGAGGAGAAAGCTCCCTTGCCTGTGCAGGAGCCCTCTCCAGGCCTCATCCTGTCCCACCATAAGCAGCATCCATCCACATCCCCAACAGCAAGGGCCTTGACTTCCCTTTTCCCAGCGAGACTCCGGGATGCTTAACTGACTGTCTAATGAGAGGAACCGGCATTTTGAAATTTCAAGACTTAAAACACAAGGTGATTTTTCTAACTCCTGGTGATGTGCCTGGGCATTTGACATTTAGATGGAGCAACTTTCAGATTCAAGTCTCTTGGGGCCCCAGACAGAATATACCTGCCACCTAGCCCCTCCCCCCAAAAAAGTGAGATGCCCACCTGGGCCATCTGCCCCTCCAAATCCTGCCAGGCCCAGCCCTTCCCACCTCAAGTGTCTGCTGCCCTTCAGAGAAAAATAGTATCCAGATGCCTCATGTCTCCAGGGACCTTGCTGTGTTCCTCAGAAGGAATATAAATCTCTTAGGTCCCTGGGGGACTACCCCTTGGTCTGGACACTGACTGGACTTTGCTCTGGGCCCTAGGCCCGAACTGGAGGTGTTCAAGTGTAGGATCATGGCTCACCTCAACCCAGAAAATGTTGTCTAGGGGTCCCTCACAGAGAAATATGATCCCTCTCCAGACACACAGGGCCCAAGGGACACCCATTATCCAAGCGGAAGGAAGACAGGTCTTTGGTGCCTAGCACTGGGGATGCCCACAGCCTCTGGTCCCTGTCATGGGATGGTGTCTTCTGAAACCTTCAGAAGGGAATGGGGGCCTCATGGGGGCATTCTGGGGGTTCAGGGGAGCTCAGGTCCTGGCATAAGTCTGAACTGCTTGCTGGCATGGGTGCTGTACTGGAAAGGGTTCAGCCACCTGCCCATCCCTCCCACCACCACAGAGAGCCAGCCCCTTCCCCGGCCCCAGGTGATGACGCCAATGTGATGGAGCGGATGGCAGAGCAGAGAGGAGGGGGGGGTCCGCTCAGCAGGAAGCACTGGGGCTATGCTAGGGATTGAGGGGTGGGGGGCAGCCAGAGGGGCAAGGACAAAGTTCCTGAGCCGTGGACCTGCCCCAGTGCCTGTAGTGGGAGGTCCCCTTGGAGCCTGGCTGAGAGCTGGCATGTGGTGACAGGGCACAGCTGTAAGATTTCTTCCCAGGGAAGCGCCTGGCGCTTCGTTTTCTGCTGTGGTCCCCAGGCAGGTGGGCCTGTGGGCTCTGCCCTGCCTTGGGAGTTCAGGCCACTGCACACCTGCCCTCCACTCTGGGCACAAATGCTTTCCCAGGTCACTGTCCAGACCCTCCTCCTGGGCCCGGCGCCTCCTGCCCGAGGAAAGGGTGAGGAGGAGTGAGGCAGCCGCAGTACCTTAATCCCGTCCACTGGGTTATGGATAACGGTGGTTTGAGGCTCCTATAGAAGGCGGCAGACAGAGGAAGGAAAGAGAGGGAGAGTGAGAAAGAAGGAAGCAGAGGACAGGGAGCCAGGGAGACAGAGGAGGAGTGGGCAGCGGCCAGAGTCCACCCAGAGAGAGTGCAGAGCAGAGGGGACAGGGATGGAGGCGACAAGTGGTCAGCAAGATGGCCCAATAGGGATGGAGGCAGCAGGTGGTCAGCGATGGCCCTCAGGGCAGTGGAGCAGGCTGGGGTCCGACCAACATGATGGAACCAACAGATCTTCCCAGGCTGGAGACGGCACCTGCCCTCCCGAGGGATGATGGAGCTCATGGGGGCCAAGAGAAGCTGCAGGTACATGTGGGCTCTGCCTCCAGGAGTCCTCCCCACCCTTTGCTGCCTGGACCCTCTGCCCCAGCGTGGGGGAGGCACAGGCTTAAAGATGCCATCGGGGTGGGAGTGGTACATGGGATGGACAGGGCCCAAATGGGACTGGCTGTGAGGCCGGTGTGTGAGCCACCTTGGCCACTGGGAGGACCTAGGTGGTGCCTGGCACCCTCTTCCCACAGCCCAACTGCTCTGAGCAGGTTCTCCACTGCCTGTACGGGACAGCTTTCCTCTCCTGAGGACTCCCCATGAGCTCAAGGGAACCATTTGGCAAAGGCAGCCTTCCTGTGGACAGTCTTGGGCTGTCTCCCAGAAGCCTGGCCTGAGGCCCATGGGGGATTCCAAGCATACTTCTAGCAAACTTAGGAGCCTATGGCCCAGCAGACTCCAAACCGCCCCTGGATAGTGAGTGTAAGCATATGGTGCCTCAGCAGGAGGCTGGTGCCCTTTGGCCACAACTCCACATCTCTGAGAATGCCAGCTGTGAGATTTACCTGGACAGGAGCCCCCCAGGACAAAGAGGCCAGAGATGGTCAATACCACCTCAAGAAGCAGAGTGATACATAGTAGGGGAGTCAGCATCCCCACCCTTCCCCAGCAGGGAGCCCCCAGCCTCCCTTTCAGGCATCCATAGTCCAGCAGGGTACCTTAGTTTTGATAGGAACAGATGGGAGGGGCAAGCACACCCTGGATGCTGCTGGACATCTCACTACACCACCATGGCCCCCACCCCCATGGGACTCAGCTACACCCCTAAGCTGGGTCAACCTGTTGAGGGTGGCAGAGAAGCTGAGGGTGAGGTCCCTGGGGGGATGGGGAGCCATGGCAGTGCCCTTGTCTTCTGCCTCACCAGCTTCCTGAACAATCTCTTGCTGCAGATTCTTGGGGGGATGACTCATAAGGCAGCATAGGTGGGAGGACAGACCTCTCCTCTGTACCTATATCTCCGGACTCCAGAAAGGGGTTCCCGGAACAGCTCTGTACTGGCCTGAACCTGGGGCCCCTGACCAGTGGTTTCTCACTTGAGACCAAATCCCCCATCACTGCCCCCAGCAAGTGTGGGATTGGTCGGGGTAGGTGTGTGCTGTCAGAGACCAGCCAGGCTGGGTGGGACCCCACCTCACAGGGCCTCTCAGACAGTGGGTATGGGAGGGGCCAGGGGTTGAGGAGTTCAGTACCAGGGCAGCAGGAGGGAGGGTCCCTTTGGGGCTGGTGATGGCCGAACTGTTTTTGGTGCTGTTTGTCTGGGGCTGTGGAGAGAGAGGAGAGGAGTTATTAGGGAGAAAAAGGGTACCCACTTCCCCTCCCATGCTTATCAGGGTCTCTAAAGCCACAGCCTCAATGGCAGGGGCAGAGCTCTAGGATCTGGGCCCCTAAGGCCAAACTGGCTCCTCACCTTGACTCCATCTGCCTTCTTGTTGAGTAAACTCTTGGCTGCTGCATTGGGAAGGAAGAAGGCATTGTTAGTGATGGACCCGGGTCTCCCTGTGGACCCAACCCTCCCACCTACCTCTGCCCTTTCCCCAGGAGTGAGGCCCAGGACCGGAAACAGTTGTGGCTTCGGCACATAGCCAAGCCCTGAGCAGCATCAGAACCTCCAGAGGGGGCTGGGCCACACTGCCCAGGGACCCCTCACCCCAGGATTGCCCCTTCCCCAGAATCTTCTGCAACCTTGGGGCTCCAACAGGGCACGGAGGAGCCTTCTAGCCCTGTGCCCCTTGGCTTTCAAGAGAGGGACAATGTGGACTCCTCCCTTGGGGGCTGGCAGCAGGTTGGGGGTCGTGGGCAGCTGAGCAAGGAGGGAAGGTCTTGACCCCCACAGTTCACCATGTTCCCATCAGGGGTTCATCCCAGCCCAGGTATGTGCCCTGCTCAGACCCCACCCTTCTTTCTAACAATGGGACTCTGACCTCTCCACCAGTGTCCAAATGCCTTGGCCTTGCTGTCTTCCTGAACTGTCCCAGCAACCCTGCTTGTGGGGCCATTTCTTATTGGCACTCACTGTGGCCAACACCAGCCTTTTTGCCCACAAGCCCCAGCGGATGCCCAGGCCCAGCAGATGACCCTGTGACCCCAAAACTCCCCTCAGAGGTCAGGATAGACCTGGCTCTGCCCCGTCCTCCACCCCCAGCATTCACACCCTCCACAGCAGAAGTTAGAATTTTAATTTTAGAACTTAAAAAAAAAGAAAAAAAAGGAGGAAGTCAGCTTACCTTACAGAAAAGGAAAGGTGAGGAAGGGAAGGAGTGAGAAAGGAAGAGAGGAAGAAAGAGAAAACAAGATTTGTATTGGTTCAGGCAGGCACTCACACGGGGCAGCAAAGCCAGCCCGTCCTGGCCCAGCATTCCCCAAGGACAGCCAAGTGGCCGTGCGGCCGGTACAGCAGGTTAGAGAAGCAGCCAGGGCTGGGCACAGCACGAAGGGCACGGGAGGGGTGGGGTCCCTTGGCCCCAGGTCCAGTGAGGAAGGAGGAGGCATAGCTCCTTACACACCCGGTTCCAGGATGCTTGCTGACCATGCCTGATGCTGGGCTCTGCTGCTATCCAGAGGGGGACTCTTACTGCCCAGGGCAGGCCTGAGTCTGCACACAGAGACCTAGGGCTGCAGCATTCTCAAAAAGGGTGTCCCCCAAGAAGCAGCAGCAACAGCAGCACCCTGCATGAGCAGAAATACAAATTCCTGGGCCACCCAGCCCTCTTAAGTCAGAAGCCTGGGAACCTTGGCATCTACCCACAATCTCACAGGGCAGTTCTGACCCTTGCTTCTTTGGGTGGCCTATTTCATTTCAGAGACCAGGCCTGGGCCCCAGTGTTGCCTGCTGACCACCTCCCTTCTAGCCAGATCACCATGCCTGGTCCCTCCCAGGCTCTGCATGTGGTGTCACAGGGTCACAACCACCCGGGAGCTGCATACAACCTCAAGACCCTGAAAGGCAGGCACAGCCTGCTGTGGCGGCACAGTTTTAGTTCATGGTCTCCCTCCTTGTGGATCTGTTAACTCTCACAAAACTTCTGCCAAGTCCAGGGTTACGTCAGGATCTTGAGAGCAGGTCTCCCCTGGAGCTAACCAGACACTGGACTCCTGTATCCTGTCCTCTGCCGTTCATCCCCGCAAGGTTAAGTACCCTCCCCCGACCCCCCATGGAGCTCCAGGGACTACCCTGATACCCTAGGGCAGCCCTGCCAAGGGTTCCCAGGACCAGAAATTCCAACTTCTTTCCTAGAGCACAGACGGTGAAAATCCTCCCCTCACTGGGGCTAGAGTATATCTCCTTAAAACTTATTACACAGGGATAGGCTAGTCCTGGTCCAGGGCAGCCCCAATCCTGTCTGTGGACCCTGCCTCTCTCCTTCCCTATCTCTAACACACAGCTCATCCCTAAAGATATCTACCCAGTGCAGGCAGCATGGAATGCCCATCTGCCCCTGGCATGGAGCTGCGCCTGGCACTGCTAAGGCTGTGGCATGGAGACCTCTTCCTGCTGGTGACCTGCTGCTGACACAGCAGGAGAACAGGTTCCTCCTTGGGGCATACAGAGGAAGACAAGAGTCTTAAAGACACTTGTCATGGCAAGCTGAGCAGCAAGAGAGGGACCTCCATCCCTCTAGGGATGTGACTTTTTAAATGCAGCAGTTTCAATGGGTGTTTTGCACAAGGCAGGCCTGACTCTACCTCCTATCAGGCCACACAACCTTGGCCAAGCCAGCATATTCCCTGCTGGATTCTGAGTTGAAACAGTGCAGGACAATACTGATCTGAGAGTCGGCCAGACATGGGATCCTCCTACCTTCCCCCTTTGCTTGTCTCCAAATGATTCTCACAGGAAAGGAAGCATCTGCAGGCCTGTAGAGACCCCAGGACTGTCCTTGGTCATAAGAGGGCTCCATATGGGTCCACAAGTCTATCAAAACCCACCTTTCCAAGCTGCGCTACTGGAGATGTTAACAGTTATCCACGGGAAGGAAAAGGACAGAGTTGAGGCTGGGGTGGATGTGCCAAGTCTGAGGACTTGGATGAGCCATGGCTTTGGCCCAGCCCCAGAAAGCCTTGAGCCCTGAGCTTATACCTATGTCATTTCAACATCCTCCCTGTGAACCCCTGTTTCACATCAGCCCTTGTGCATGTCTTGAGTGCAGCATGAGGCGCAGCCTGGCCCTTCCTGAGTATGCAGTTCCTGGTCCACTTCTTTCTTCAATATCCACATCTGCCCTGGACTAACTACATCCTTTAGGTGCAGCAGGAGCCAAAGGTGGATAGAGCAGTCATGGGATCCCATAAATCTCACCTGGGGACTCCACAGGCCAGTGACTCTCCACCCCTGGGAGGAAACTGCCTATTCCCAGGGGTGGTCAGGCCAAGAAACTGCAGCCAACCCATAGCTAGCCTGATAGTTATGGTCTTCTTTGCTCTCACATCTGCTCAATGTTGGAGGGACTTTGGAGGACAACACTCTACAGCAAAGGTTTCTCTGCTGGCTGAGGTGCTCTGCCACACTGGGATGTCTGACAGAAACACGGAGAAGAAAGACTCCTGATGCATATCACTGGAATACAGCTGAACCAACCTAATCAGGCAGGTGGGACCCGCAGCCCCACCTTTGCCTCATCCCCTAGCTGGGAACCCTGGACAGCCATGCTGGGCTCCATCAACATGCACTGACCACCCTCCAGGACAGAGTAGCCCTTGGAGCCCAGGGCGGAACCGCACATGCAGGCGGCCTCATGCACCGTCGCCCTTGCTCACTTGCAGGCAGGCGGGCATTGCAGCAGGAGTCCTGGGAAGAGTGTCACTCAAAGGGGCCTGTCTTATGCCACTGTCCCCTGGGCAGCAGGCTTCTTCAGGAGCCACTAGCTTCATCTTTTCCTAACCCCAGTTCCTCCCTCCCATATGTTCTTCTAGAAGGCCATAAAATGGAGACTTGGGACTGTTCACTCGGCCCTCATGGGGAGAACAGACTCCTTTTAGGACAGCCTGAGCCTCCTCTATAAGGAGAGCCCTCTGGCAATGATAGCCTCACTGTGGCCCTGGAGGGTCACCAGGTAGAGCCAAATGGGCGTGCAGGAAGAGCCGGGCCTTGGGAAGGTGATCCCTTTACTCCCAGCTGTTGCTGGAGGTTCTTTTAACTCCCAGCTGTTGCTGGAGAACGCTATAGCTTGGTTTGGGGAGAACCCAGGGTGACCCTGTATGCTTAGCAGCCACCCTTAACATGTGTTAGCTCTCAGCTTGGATGGCAGCTATGGAGCCTTTGAGGAGGCACCAGGGTCCCCTAATCCTCAGGGGGTCCATGTCCCAGCTTCTGGCAGGAGGATCCACCTGTACCTCCCTGAGAAGGTCAGCAGAGCTGCCTCCTCCCTCACAGATATGGGACTAGATGAGAAGTATCTCTAAAAAGAACCCAATAGGAGGCCTTCAGAGTCTCTTCAGGGCACTGAAGCCATCCTATCCATCCCTGCATGTGGGAACTCCGCAGTACAGACCACCAGCTCCACCTGCTTTGAGAGAAGGACTGACCACGGGCCCACCACTCCCTCGAGTCAGCATCCCTGCCTCCACAGCCCTGCTCCCAGGGCTCCCCTTCCAGGACTCAGACCTCCAGCAGCAAGCTCAGTGGCTCCCCATGAGGTCACGGTTATTCTGAATGGGGTCTCCAGACCCCAGGCACCAGGACCAGGGGTCTTGGCCAAATGTACCTGGGTTTAGCATGGCCAGGGGTCACCTAGCCAGTCCCTCCTCTTATAGGTGAGGAGACGAGTGAGGACTGCCCTTGGGTGGACCCTCCTGGGTTGTGACCACAGCGGGAGCAGGGGCTCCCGGGGGCCCTGCCAGCCTCTGGGGCGGCTCTGGGAACCTGGCCAGCGGCTGCGTGCAGCGGGGGGGCTGCATGCCAACAGGAAGGACGGGCAGGAGCGGGTGGACGCTGGGCAAGACACATCTACCTTGTTCCACCAGCCCCATGGTGGTGCCGGAGGCCGCGGTGGACATTGTGGCCGGAGCGGTGGTCTGTCTGCCCACTGTTAGCACCAGGTTAGAGACGAGGGGGGGAGGGGGGTGAACACAGACGGGGTGGGGGGCGAGGTAAGGGAAGAGAAGAGACAAAGGAAGCAGAAGAAGATTAGAGTTAAAGTTTAGGCAGCAGATGGCTCCAGAATCCCTTTCTCAGGAGAGTGAAAACAAGATTGGGCCGATTGACACTGAAAAGCATTTGCCTCCTTTCTCCTTAGAACACCCCAATGGGGCTTCTCATGCCCGGCAGCGTGTGCCGGGCACACAGCAGACAGGACAGTCCCATTAGTGTTGGTGTGACCATGTGTGCCCATTCCCGGCAGTACAGCATCACAGCAAAGTAACAGGAAGGGGGAGGGTGCCAGATGTGAACGGACAACGAGAGACAACCACAGGCGCTCGCACACGCAGTGTCAGACGACGGAGAAGCCAAAGGCACAGCTGTCCGGGCGCTGAGGCCAACACCACTCCCTGGGGTAGCCTGCGGCACCCTGGGCCTTGGGGGTCTCTAACAGACCCTTGAGATTTCATTTCCCCACCACCCACCCTGAACAACCAGGGCAGGCGGCGCCAGTTCTTCCAGAAGGCAGGTCCCTCTACACGCTGACTTCACGCTTACCCACCCCCACTTCTGCCACATCCCGCACACAACATGGTGCTCAGAGCACTGAAAACAAAGAGGCCACAGAGCTGCCCTACAGACGCCTGGACAGACACACGTGGCGGGCTGGGTAGTGGGCAGCACAGACACTAGGGTGTCAGGTGAGGGACACAGACCCAATACGAAGGAGACAGGGCAGGGGATGGCAGACTCTGGGCAGCTGCCCAAAGAACGAGCCCAGGAGGCCTGCTGGGCAATAGGGGTCCCCAAACTGAGGGCAGAGGCTGGGCACCAACCAGCTTGGTGGAGATGGGTGGAGGTGCTGGTGAACAAGGAGGGGCTTCCTGCTACAACCTGCAGGTCAAGGGCAGCATCATGTCCTCCCTGGAGAAGAATGTCTCACCTGAGAAATTCCTTGTGGCCAGCATGGTGGTGAGGATGGCCCCCTGGGGAGAGACACACAGACAGAGCCAGGACCACTCTGTTAGTGTCACCTGCTGGCTTCTGGTCAGAAGAGCCCTGCCCACCTGCCTGCAGGCTCAGCCTTCCAGAGAGGCAAGAGTTTCAAGAACCTACCAGTACCTCTGAAAGAGATTATCTGTATCCAAATCAAAACATACCTGGGAACCCAATACTGTCGACCGACTAGGCTTCTAGGCGCCTCAAGACCCTCCTAAGACTCAGGGGTTGCCAGAATCACTGTCACCAGGGCAGCCCTCTGGGTCTTCCTCCACCCCTTCTTTCCTCACAGGCCCAGGGTGGTAGTGACCAACTTAGGCTTTTAGGAGAATTATAGTTAAACGACATTCCCCAGGTCCAGGCCTGGCCTTGCCCTCAGCACTGAGGACCTGGGGAGATGGCTGGCCTGACCAGACAAATCATCATCAGGATCTTCTGGTCACCTTCCAGGGACCACCTTCCACTCCCATGGCCCACCTTCCACTCCCATGGCCCTGTCCACCAAGACCAGCATTCAAATCTGGTCTCCTTACCAAACCTGCTTGGGACCAAGGCATGTTCTTCCCAGGTGTGGAACCTGCAGAAGGTCCTCAGGACACCCCTCCAGGACTGCTCAAGGCAACAGGGTCAACTAGAAGGGGCCAGCTCTGTGTCTGGGGCCAAGCCCATACTCATGGCCCCAGGGGGCTTTGGGCTGTTCCCAGGGCCCAGATTCATTTGGTCTGGGACTTGCCAACAAGCACAGTCTTGGGGGCAGCTGTGACCCTGCTTTGTCCTTTGGCTGGATCTGCCGATATCACCCCCAGCAAGGGCCCGTGGGAACACAAGGACGTGTGATGGTTCTATGGGCTAAATGGTAGTGCCTCACCTTGAGCTTCCTCCTGGCATTGAACTTCTTCAAACACTCCACGGTCTCCTGTCTGTGCATCATGGAGGCCACTGTGGAACGTTGCTGCAGGGAGAGGGGTGATCACAGAGTGGCAAAAAGCACCAGAGGCATCGGCCTTGTCCCGGTGGGGCAGACCCCAGAGTGTCAGGGGAAAGGCCCAGGGCAGCAGGGCTTATGGCATCCCAGGGCTCCTAGGTGCTGAGAGGTACCAGCCACCACTGCATCAAGAGAACAACTGTCCCCACCTGCTGTATCCACCCACCTGTGACTTCAAGCCTTGCCTCTCATAGACAGTACTGAAGTCAAGAGGAAGCTCAATGCCATCCAAGCCCTGTCCTCGAAAACCACTCAGCATGTCCCAAGCCAGAGGCCATGAGGAACACCCAGGGAATTGTCAGCACAGGGACAGAACCCCAGTGCCCTCCTGGGGCCCTTGAGACCTCCCCCAGGAGATCCATTCCACAAGCGGGCACCAAGGACGACTTACACAGACCCATGGATGCTTCAGGGCTTCATGGGCTGTGATGCGCTTGGCAGGGTTAATTGTCAACATCTGGTTGATGAGGTTTTTGGCTTCAGGAGTGACAGTGTCCCACTCAGGGGATGGGAACTGCAGAAGCAAAGAAATAATGCACAGGCCGAGGCTGAAACCCCCTCCCCCCATGCAGGGACAGAGCTGAGGAGGGCAAGATAGAGGGTGGGCCACAGGAGGCTTCACCCCCACCCCCTGGTGCACACTCACGTCATAGGCCCCAGCCTTGATCTGCTGGTACAGCTTATGCTGGTCCTCATCCCAGAAAGGCGGGTAGCCCACCAGCAGGATATACAGGATCACTCCTATGGATGGGGACATGAGCAGCACAGCCCTGGGAGGGCACTGGGGTCCTCAGCATTCTTTTATCCCACCCCAACAGGCACCAGGCACATGGGAAGAATGGCATATATAAATCCTATTCCCAGCCCTATGCCCACCATACTTCACCATGGAGCCCAGGCTAGCCCCCTCTACTTCAACACCACCTGCAAGAGGAAACACCTGCCCTAGGAGCAGCCCCACCAGGTGGTCTGAGTGTCCCTGAGCCCTTCACTCAGGCTGTCCACTTGGCTCTGGGCCCAGACCTTTGCTGAGTGCAGGTGGACACAGGTGACGGGCCCTGGGTCATGTTAGTAATTCTAGTCTGTGGATCAGACCCCTGCCAAGGCAGCCCAAAGGCAGGTATGACACATGAACCTGGTCCAGGACTAGCAAGTCAGCCATCTTCAGGTTCCAGAATAGACATGGCGACTTAGAAATGCCCTGGAGCACCCCACCACACCCTCTGACCCACCCACCCCACATGGGTCTCACCACACGCCCAGATGTCCACAGGCTTGCCATATGCCTCCTTCCGAAGGACCTCAGGGGACAGGTAACCCGGTGTGCCAGCAAAACCTATTGAAGCAGAAGGGGCCATGAGGAGCTGTGAGGGGCCTCCAACACCTCCTGCCCTCCCCCTGTGTACTCACCAAACCATGCCTGCTGGTCCCCCTGCACCTCGATGGCCAGGCCGAAGTCCGCCAACTTCACTGCAGCCCCCTTGCACTTGCTGGCCAGGAGCAGGTTCTCAGGCTATAGAGAGGTGGCCGCGAAGTCACCATGTTTATACCCGAAGGAGTCACAGGAGGGATATGGGACAAAAGAGAGATGACAGCAGCTTGCAGGAGAGGGGTGCAGGTCTGACCCTTCCACACATGGAATTCCCAGGGCACGGCTGAGTTCAGTCCTGTACCCTCTAATCTGACTACCTGAGGACAAAGACAGCAGCCCCAGCCTGTCAGAGGAAAGTTAGCCTTTAGGCAGAGTGTAGCTCCCTTGCACCCCAGAGCAGGAGTCTGAGGGGGCCTCTCAGACCAAAATCTCCAGCCCATCCTCACAAGCAACTGTGATGGTCCCTACAGCTCAGGGGCAGGTCACACAGGAGCTTTGGAGGCTCCCATGGCCCGGGACTCCCAGTGGCAGAGAGGTTTCAACTGGACCTCCCTCCCTTCCCCATTTTTGACCAAGTGTATAAGTTGGCAGGTGGCAGCAGGGCGCAGGGGGAGGTGTCCTGTAAGGCTCAGGAAGTTCTTCCTACTTGGACAGTGGCCCTCAAATGGCGTGGAGAAACACTCAAGAGCCAAAGTGCCCAGGACAGCAGAGGACATCCACCTGCTAGGCATAGCCTGACCACCAATTCCCACTTGGCTCTGGTGAGCAGGGCAGAAAGGAGGCCCCTGCCCAAAAACCTTCCCGTCCACTCCCACAGGTGGGAAAAGGCTCTCTGGACCCCCCTCAGGGAGCAGCACCCTTGCTCACACTGAACAGACATCTGTTCCTTGTTTTGAAGAAGCAGCCAAGGAGGCTGCTCTCATTCTGTGGACACCTGGTACCAAAGGCCTGAGGGGTCCCTGGGCTTCAACATTCCCTGACCTTCCTGTCCAGCTTCCAATTCCAGCAGGGTTCTGGCTATTGGTGGTGCTCAAAGCCTGTCCATTCTGATCCTTGACCACTGGGGCCTGCTGGGTACTCAGGTCCCCTGGCAGCCCTGCAGTCTCCCTCCATCCTGAAACTAACTGCGCAGCCTGCATAGGTTACACTGCTGCTAATGATCCACCCAAAAGACAACACACTGCCTCGCGGCCTACTTTTAACACTGGCTGTCAACCTCAGAGATTTTCATAGGTGAAAAAGTGGCCTTTGCAATCAATGAAATGTACCAGTCCTGTGTGAAAATATTTGTGCTCCAGACCAGAGCTTCCTGAGGTTTCAACTATGGGCTGCATAGCAGCCAGGGATGAGGCCTCATGCCCTCTTGGGGGGACTCTGTCCCCAGGTGGAACTCCATATCTCTCTGGTAACAGGAGGGAGCACAAGGGCCCTACCCACTGGTTGCCTACCAGACACCACTGCCCATCTTGATTTTGCCAACCTAAGCAGGGCAGGGGCCCCAAGCCATACTTCCACATGGAGAATCTGAAAGAAGAGGGGGGCAGGGATGGCCCAGCTGGGCTGCATAGCATTCCTCCACCTCTGGACTCCACTCTGGTTCCTTCACAGCTCAAGATGGCACTGACAGCCTTCTGCTCTCTGTCACCACCAACTCTCATGGGATGGGAGCAAACCCACCATGGTGCCATTTGGGGGCCATCTCAGTCAAGACAGTAGGATTTCTCCCCGAGAAAGAAGGGTTGTTCTGCCACCACAACAAGAGGTGGAGGCCACAGCAAGAATTCTATTTGTTTCCCAAATTAAGAGGTGAGGGAGCACCCACCTGCACTTCTATGCCTTGACCTCAAAGTTAACCAGATAAATCACGGGGCCTGGGAACAAAGTGTTACCTCCTCTGGGTGCTGGCACTAACACATGGCCTTCCTAGGGGAGAATCTGGGCCCCATCCTCCTAGGGACCCTGAGTGAGGGCAGTTCAGATAAGACCATGGGGAGGCCAAGACATGTGAAGGGACAAGGAGGGAATCCCAGGTCTGGTCTTCCTGTGACACCCTCCTCAGAGCAACTGTGAAGACCGGCCTCCCATAGCCACAGTCTAAGGAAGGTATGACCTCTCATTCAGCCTATTCAGCCTAGGAAAGATGTGACCCCTACTCAGCACCAACAGCCATGGGAAGGCTGGTCTTAAATACACCGGGGCAAGGCTCAGGGGTCCATACTACCTTCAGAAAGTAACAACTGGTTGAACCAAGATTTGGAAAAGGAGGGAAGGAAAAAAAGGGAGGAGGGAGAAGAAGTGTCGGTGGCTTCTGGGATGCCACAGCCACCCCGTGTCCTGGGGATGAGAAACCTTCTTTTGAACAGAGCCTGAAGCCCACAGCTCAGCTCTGGGCAGCAGAGAGTTGGAGTGAGAGCTGAGAGGAACTGGCAGGGCCAGGTGAGACTGGCTTTCACCACCCTGCCCCCAGCAGCATCAGCCTTCTGTCCCCTGTGTCCCCACCTGCCAAAGCTGCATCTTGATGGAAAACCAGAAAGTGTTTACATTTGATGCTAGGCGTATTCCTAAAGGCTGCCCCTTCCAACCCTGAAGGCATCGAGCCAGATGTGTGCAGGCACATCTCACATGTGTACACACATGCACACAGCACATACAGTGTACATTCACACACATGCATACACATGACCACTTGTGCACACAATCACGTGAATACACTCACACATGTACACACATACACGTGTGCATTTATATGCATGCACACACTATATGCACACACATAAACATGTGTGACAGGTGTGTACACATGCCTCCATGTACACATACAATACACACATCCAAGTGGACACATGTACACACACAAATAAACATGCACAGCCCTCAATGCATGCACACACAAGCACACTCTCACCTGTGTGCCCACAAACATGCACACACCGATATGTACATACATATCACATACTTCTACACACAGGCATGTGCACACACCTCCATGAACAAGTACACATACACACACTCCTCCACACAAATACATGGTATGCAGACATGCCTGCCCACACCCCGCATCCCCCTCACTCCACACTGCCCAGCCCCTCATACCTTTTACACAGCATGCAGGGGTGGATCATACACACCTGACACACAGTGAGATAGGAACTCACCTTGAGGTCTCTGTGGACAACCCCCATTTGGTGACAATGGAGAACGGCCTCCAGGATCTGCTGGATGCAGTGACTGTGGCAAAGAGCAGGTGGGTCAGTGCAAGTGGCCCTGGGGATAGGCTGGGGAGGGAAGCAGGGAGAGGAGGCACAGGGAGAATGGCAGTGCTGGGTGGTACTGGAGTGCAGCTCCCAGCCTGCGGGGAGTGAGGCAGATGCAGGAAACCAAGTGGAGAGGAGATGCTAGCCAGAAGGGGCCTCTGGGGTTCCTTCCCCACTACCAGGGTCAGATACCCTGGCCCTCACCTTGCCTTCCTCTTTGGGCCCAGGTCTGCCTAGGAGGCAGGGCCAGGTGCACAGACGTGACTTTCAGGGCAAACATTCCTGTTCCCAATATACTTCCCCAAAGTTCGTGTTGACCAAGCTGACCCTAAGCCTGAACCTAGGCAAATAGTAGCCTGAGGCAGAAACACCAAGAGCCAACCAGGAGGCTGATTCCCAGCAGTGCCTTCTCCTCCTCCTCCTCAGTGCAGAACACAGGCTCAGGAAAGAAAAAGAGGGAGGCTGAGGTTGCTGAGAGGCTGCCCTATAGGCACAGGAGTTGGTCAAACCAGCAAGGCAAGCCCAGGAGGAAAGTCTCCAGGGAGCTCCCTTGTGCCCTCTCCCTCCCTGATAACTCAGTCTCCAAAATAACTGCCAGGGTCCTTGCACCCCGCCCCACAGACTCAGGCTGCCCAACCCTCCTCAGTCTGGCCACTGAGCATACTCCACTGGAGCCTCCAACCTCAAAGAGGCAGTTTGTGAGAGGAAACGAGGGGTGTGTGGTGGAAGAGTCCCACCTCTTCTGGGCCAGGTCTGGGGGCCTCCAAACACCCAGTATCCTTGACTAGGGGTCCCCTGGGGAGAGGGGGGACCTCTACCATCAGAGCAGGCAGGGTGGGGCCTAGAGAGGGTCACAGGGCTCTTCTTTCCCCAATTCTGCAGTGTGAAGAAGGTTCCTGGGACCAGAACAGTTCAAGCACCCAGAAAGTTCCAGCCTCTCCCCTCCTAAAACCTATCTGAGGCCACTTGTCCTGAGCAGTTCTCCTGGCCTGCAGCAAGAAGGCTACGATTCAGGCAGCAGACTTTCTGCCTCAGGTCAGGTCCTCCAGGGTCACCAGGGGGCGCTGTGTGTCTGTGAGAGAAACTAAGTGTAGAGGTCCAGGGAGCAGAGGCTGAGGGCCCCAGTGCAACCGGCAGAGTGGCTAGTGCTGTGGAAGGACAGGCCACCTGGTGTGGTGAGGGCAGCACACAGTGAGCCCTCTACCCCCTGGCCTCCACTCTGGTGGGTAGGTCATTTGGAAGGGGGTTGGCACTGTGAAGCCCTCAACAGCTCTCCAGGCTAGAGGATGACAGGTCCCACAGGGACAACCACAGTATACAGGGAGCAGAAGGGTCTGTAGGGGTGGAGGGGGCCGGGGCTGGAAGACGATGATACAGGGGAAGGAGTGTCAGAGAGGGTAGGGCACAGGGTGAGGGCAGGTGAAGACAATGTGAGAGGCGAGCTAGGCTATGGGTGGCACCATTAGTGAGAGGGTGCCAGGGGGTGGGCATGAGGACACCAGACCCTGGGGCAGTGGCCGTGGCATGATCAGTCCAGGTACTGCGCAGTAGGGCCTCAGAGTCCGTTATGTATATGGAAGGCTCCATATGGCCAGATGATGCCCGCTACCTTGCCTGGTATCTTGGGTCCCTCAGAGCATGTGGCCCACCCAGGGCCCCTCTTGCCCCAGCAGGCATTTGGAGGGTCAGTGGGGACACTTGGGTCCGTTCACCAGCATGCAGCCCAGTTCTGAGACATTTTCCACTCGGCATGACAGAGCAGCCGGAGGGGATTTCGTTCCACTTTCTGCTTCTAAGTAGAATATAAAGAAAAACCTCATCTCTCTCCACTCTGAGGGACAGGCCACTTCCAGGCTGTTTTGTAAAATATAAAGTCCTTCCTGAAGAAGCCTTAGAAAGAAGCTAGTGAGCTTAGCCTCTCAGGATCTGCGGGCAACAGGAAGGGTCACAGGCCTGCCTGTCCCAACTTGTCCTCTCCCTGATCTGGCCTACGGCCTTTGCTTGCCTGGCTCTGTGGGGAGGCCTGAGTGGCCAAGACAAGCTGGAATGCTCACACCTTCCCAAAGGGACTTGTTGCGAAGGGGAAGGCTGCCTGCTGGTATAGAGGCAAGCCACAAGAAGCTACTTTAAAAAATATTCCTTTTTTTCTTCATTAGAAATGCAATACATTTTCAATAAAGAAGAGTTTTAAAATAGACAAGAAAAAAATTTTAATCATCCATAACTCCACCACCTGGAGAGAACCACTGTAGCCTTTTTTCTTGTAAAATGCATATCTCTGTGGCAAAGCAGGTTGGACAGAACCTGGAAGGCAGGAAGTGACCACCCTCAGCTCTCCCTGAGTTGAGATACACTCTCAAGGATCAGTGTATCACTTGACCTGGGCCAAAGCAGCCCACAAATGGCTGACCCTTCCTGGGACAGGAGTCATCATCTCTCCAGCTGACATTATGCATCCCTCAATCTGGTCCCCAGCAGCCATGCCACAATTGGCCATCTCTGGGATTATTGTCTAGCTTCATTGCTCTAGTGAGGGCTGACCCCAAGGGAAGGGCTGTCTAGGGTCCACAAGGAAGCCCAGTGTATAGAATCCATGTATAGAATCCACGCTCCTCTATCCCACCCCCACACCAGGAGCCCAAGGGCCCAGGGGTAAGCCCTTGAATGGCACACTGGGTACAGAAGTTTTGAGTGTGCTCTGGCCTCCTCCCACTGTCCTGGGTGTGGCAGGCAAGAGTGCAGGGACCCAAGAGGACAGACAGTGGTAGCTGTCCCAGCAGCTGTACCAGGATAGGCTGTTGACTTTCCTTGGTTTTATGCACAAGCTGGTTGGGGCCAGAGATGGCATTGTGAGGACACTATGGAAGGGGATTCCTGGCCTGCCTTCTGGGGAAGAGCATTTGGAAACTGCTTATCTCTGTGAGGAAGGTTAGGCAAGAGATTAGTGCCATGGCCCTCCACACCCAAAGGGCAGGAGGGTGCCTATGACCATCCTCTAGCTGCTGCTCCTCCTCCACCAGCCACCCTAAGAAAAGCATCCCTCACAGTGCAGCAGGACCAAGACATTCCCACAGGCAGCACCTCTGTGCTGGTCAAAGACACAAGATGGCCCCCTCCTTCCTTGGTCAGAAAGCTCCCAGTAGGGCCAGTGGGCCAAGTGACACTTCCACTCAGCTGCCTTCTGCTAGGAATATGGAAGGGACAATGATGCATGGAATATACAGGGGTTACAGGAGAGGCAGGAGTGGGGTTGAGTGAGGGATGGGCAAGGGGGAAGATGGTGTGAGGCTTGGCACCCACCTGGCATCAGCCTCACTGTAGTACTCTCTTGCCACAATGTCTTCAAAGAGCTCCCCACCAGTGACCCTGTGGGAAAAGCACATGGAGGTCAGATTCTGGAAATATTGTTGCTTTCATCACTTTCTCTACTACTATCACCACCATCACCACTGCCACCACTACCTCACTACCACCTCCATCATCACCATCACCACTTCCATCATCACCATCACCACCTTCTCCATCAATACCACCACCACCGTCACAATCTCTTTCACCACCAACATTCACCACCACCATCACCATACTAGCACCATCGTCACCTAGATCTGACAGCTTACCAATTACTTACTCACTCATACATGATGATACTTAACCTTTCTGTCTTCACAACCATTCCAAGCCATTGGCACTATTATATTCCATTAATGGACAAGAAAACTGAGTTCCAGAGATCTACATGATTTCCCCAGAGTGGGCAGCATAGAGGTTTGAGTCAGGCATCTGGATTGTTATCCTCAAGTACCCCAGGGCCAGATATGTGCTCCCCTACCCCCAGGAGTGAAAGGGCCAGAAGATCCGGTGCCTGGATCTGGCTTCCCTGATGGGCCACTGTCTTAGTTCTAAGACCCTTCTTTAGGGAAGAGAGTTGATTGTGACAGGTGCTGGGGTGGTCTCAGCTGGCACAACCTCATGCCCTGTGTCCCTATCAGAATATAGTCAAGATGGGCTTCGGGGCAGGGCTGAATGGAGGGCTTCTGAGAATGTAGAAAGGGTTTGGGCTTCTGGGAGTCCTTGGGGTCTGGTAAGGTGGAGAGGTGTGGACGCACACCAGCAGGTAGGACAGAGGCCCTGGGTCTGCCCTTGTCTCTCCCCAAACTGAGGGTTCTAAGTCTGCCAGAAGACACCACCCAATGGCTCTCTGAGGTCAGGCCCTCCCTGAGGAGTGGGGAAAGCCTGTGGTCCTCTTCCCGGGCTCCTTCCTGCTCTAGCTGTGCTGTCTCTGTTTAGTTTCCCATATTTTTCCAGTGAGGTTTGGGTCTTCCTCATTTTTGTGTCCAGCACTCAGCACTGGCCCAGTTCATGGCAGGGGTGACCCAGGGAGTAGGGATTGTTTAAAAATTACCCTGGCATGGGTGGGTACTGTGTCTTGGAGTTGGAGAAAAACTTAAATGAGGATGTGCTGCATGTTAGCATGTCCCTGCTCCAGGCTAAACATGCCCTGAGGACCCTGCAGGAGCCCCCAGCAACACCTGGAGTGAGGAGCTTTTAAGGTTCCACTTTGTCTCTGGAGGAGCCTTAGCTCTGAGCAGTGCTACCCACAGGGGTGACAATACTTGAGCAGCAGCTCTGGGCCTAGGAGACTCAGATTGGGCTCCACAAGCCACCCAACCCATCTATCAGGGAGCCCAGCCCTAAATTAAGTGGAAATTCCAACATGAGGGTGAAATGCACATGTGCACACATGTGTGTGGAGCAGGAGGATCACATCCCAAGTGTAGACCAGGTTGTGTGATTGACTGTGTCGGTCTTGGTTCATCAGCTTACTCATCAGGCCCAAAGGCCCTGAGTCCAGGCAAAGAACAACAGCAAAAGGCTACCAGGTCTAGGTCCAGGGTCATAGCTTACAGTAGCCTCCTGAGAGGTACCTCACCTGGGGCCAGACCAGACCTTCTGGGGTGCCCTGTGTGTTTAGCCAACTGTAGTTCCGACTAATGGGCACCTGGGACTTCCTGGCTAGGGCCATTGTCTGGTCCAGAGCCTCAGGGCAGGGATTTTGTCCCTGCCATGTTTGTTGATGGGGGCATATTGGCACAGTGCTGCCCAAGAAGGGGATATGTCTGGGAGTTTCTGCATCTGAATCACCTCTCCACAGTCCATGGGGGCATACAACTAAGGGAAGTCATGGCCCACATGAGAGCCTCCTTCCTCCAGGTGTGCAGGTGTGTGCAAGTCCTTCCATTCTCAGGCCTACTCCCTGAGTCCTGTGACATTTCTAAGCATGGGGAGCGTGGACACCTGTCAATGTCCCCAAATCCACAGAGCCTCTCAACTGCTAAGGGACCTCTGGGCCTCCTGAAAGTGAGGCCAGCCCATTCCAGAATCTGCTGCCCCGTCAGACACAAAGGTTTGGGAGGAAGATGTGCAGGACCCCAGGACTCACTACCCTCAGAGGCTTTCCCTACACCTCCTGGTGAGTGCTGAATCAGCTCCGAGCAAAGCCAGCCCCGAGAGACAAGTCATACACACACACACACACACACACACACACACACACACACACTGTTCTCTTTCCTTCTTAGTTCCTGGAACACATGCAGCCATCTGTTGCCACCAGGAGCCCTGGACAGGGCCACCCTCAGTCCAGGGGCTTCTCCCTTTCCTGGGAAAAGAATCTGATGTAGGTGCCTCTGGTGGACACAAGAGCAATGGTGAGTCTGCCCCCTAAGGAGGGCATAATCTCAGCCAGACAGCAGTGGCTATGCTTGGGCCAGCCTTAGTCACCTGGCTGACAATTTGAGGCCTTATGGGACACATGGGGCATCCAAGAACCCCCTAAAGGGACAGCCTTGCCTCTCTTGACCAGAAGACTCCATGTGAATGGAGTCCTCTCAGGTCTGCACACCCCACAGCCTGGGCACCTGTCACTTGAGGAAGGAAGAACTGAGAGGGCGGTCCATACAAAAGTGCCTCCTGTCACCACTGAGCCTGCTGCTCAAGAGCTGCTGCGGGAGGGCATGGGGTAACCATGGCAATGGCACCACAGCCAGGCTTCCCTGGCTGTGTGCCTTCCTGGAGGCCACAGAGGTAGGCCAAGACCCGTGGGCCCCCACCCAGCGCAGGGTCCCACAACAGCCCTGATTCACGGACAGCTAAATATAGTGCTGCTTAGCCGGAGCTGTCAAGAGTGAGGGAGATGAGATCATCGCTTCTAAATCTGGCAGGAAGTGAGAGGCGGCACTGGCCCCAGACGCCTTCCTCGCTCAGTTACTGCATGTGCACGTTTGTGCGCGCACACACACTCGTGCAAATACTCACAGGCATACATGCATGTACTCCCACAAACCATAGCCACACATGTTCATACAAGGCACACACACACGCATATATACCGCACACATACACTCACACACGCTCAGATACCCACACGTGCACACACATTCACACATAAGCACAAGTGCACACATGTACATGCTTTTACCCACACTCAAAATACACATGCTCACGCCAGGCAATGGTGCCACCACAGTCCAGCTTGACAAGGGCACACAGGGAAGGGAAGTGACTGAACCTCTGGCTGCACTCTGCAGTCCTCCCTTCCCTCCCCTACCCCTCTGGCCTGTGGGGAGGAGGGGTCACAGGTCAGTCCCAACCCCAAGGGACTCAATAAAACCAGAGCAAGACCAAGGAGGCCAGGAAGATGTGGCTGGGAAAAAGGTGACCCACAGCAGAGGTGCACTCAGGTGGTGGCCAGAAGTAGGGACAGGACTGCTCCCTGGCCTGGGGAGGTTTCGGACCCCTCCCTAGCCCTGCACCAGGAGTGGGAGAGGGTTCTCAGCGCTGGCACTTACAGATCGAAGACCAGGTAGTGGAAACCCTCCTCGGAGATGCTGTCATGGAGACGCACTGCAGGGACAGAGAAGCCATGAGGAACTGGTGGTAGCTAGGACACACCCACCTTCACACTGTCCAGCCATATGCCGCTGTGCAAGCCCTCAGGGAGGGACCCACAGCCAAGGACCCTAGGGCTGCCCACAGGATGACCTGTGGGGAGGACCAGGTGGGTGACCAGGAGGCAGGGAGGGGGTACTTTGGGCCCTGAAGGCCACCAGCCCCTGGGTGAGCATCAGGGGCCTCTGGGCAGCACCCTGACCTTCCTCCACTCCCAGCTGCCTGCCTGATCTGTTTCCTTCTGCCAGAGGGAGATCGAGGAGGGCAGCAGTAGGGATTTGCCCAGCTGAGTTCCTGGACAGGAGTCCCTGAAAGGTGTCACATGGGGGAGGATTCAGGATGAAACACACCCATTGTTCACCCTGGGCCTTCCCAGAGCTGCCCTCTGTCCTCAACAGGCAGGGACCTGGTCCAGAGGAAAACCTGTCCCAATGTGTCATCACCAAAAGGCTCGAACCCTGAGCTCAGGTTCCAGCAAGGTGGGGCATTGCCATTCTCCCCTCCTCAAGCCTGTCTCCACGGTGCCTGCGAAGGTCTGTTTGCTTCCTGCCCCTCACTCTAGACCCTGCCTGGTGCAGGGCAGAACTGACGAGGACACACAGGATGCGTGACAAGTGGACAAAGGAGCTGGGGAACAGCGGTGCGATCTCAGCACCAAAGTGTGCCCCGCCAAGGCCTGCTTTTCCTCATCTGGAGAGAGGCACTGCTCCAAGCAGTGAGTATTTGCTCAGAATGATTCACTTTGGGCCCTGCTCTCCCACGTGCAGATTCTGCCCTTTGCTAGAACAACGACGACAGGCATTGAGCTCTTTCCGTGTGCCTGGACCGCTATGAGCACTCTATGGATTAACTCAATTAACCTTCCAGCCACTCCTAGAGGCTACAGATGAGGAAGCTGAAGCACAGAGAGGTTGAGTAATCAGCTGAAAGTTACGCAGCCCAAAAAAAGGCAAAGTGGGGCTGTGAGCTGAGGGGTTGGTCTGGCTCTAGGCCCTACACTGTGCCAGTCTTGGCCCCTCTCTGTTTTGGGTCCAGGCAAAAAGATCTCTGAGGTATGGCTGTCTCCCATCATCCAGACACAGGAGCTGGAGGGTGAAAATTGGTCGCCTTCTCCCACGTCCCATAGACACCTGGGCCTTAAGCATAAACAGCCCACACAGCTCCAGCCCCTTCCTGGTGCCCTCCTGCACTGCCCTAGTTTCTAATTAGCTGTCAGGGCCCTCCCTCCTGGCTCTGGTCCTTCTGGGTGCCAGCCTAATAGCATCCTCATGCCCAGAAACTCTAATCTGGCCTCTGGGGCCCAGGCCTTGCCCAGACCTCTGGGCTCCAAGGACCCCACACCAATGGCCTTTCTCAGCACCTACACCTCAGGCACAAAGCCCCCCAGCCTGTGAGAGCAGGCTGGGCTCCAGGTCCCAGGAAATGCAGGACGACCCTCTCCTGCCACTGTACTGGCTGTATGTCCTTGTACAGGTCACTCAGCCACGTAAGCCTGTCTGCTCCTCTATGAAATGGACGAAATTAGCAACTGTGGATCATTGCAAAGATGAATTAGGTAACCTGCAGGAAGCTCCCACGACACGGTGAGTACCTAAGGACAATTGTCATTGTCACTGTTGTTAGCTGTTTGTGAGGCTCAGTACCAGGATCTGGGGCTGCTTGGGGACCTGAGCTTCTTTTCTGAGCCCAGAGCAAAAAGGCCCAAGCCCAGAGGGCAGCAGCTGGAAGGGGTCTTCCGGCACAGTGCTCCAGGGGAGGAAGGGAGGCCCAGGGCCACTGCTCCCTGGGATCAGCAGGCACAGCTTGCTGGTGGGGGCTGGCACCGGACTCCTGGTGCAATATGGGGTGAGGTCAGGGGCCCAAGGGACATCAGGCTTGGGTGGGTCTTGCTTTCTGCCAGGAAGTGGGTCCCTCAATCAGATGGAGCCACTGGGGATACTTGTAGGAAATCAAGGTAGTGTGCATGTGAACATTAAAAAAAAAATTAACATTTTAAAAATAGTTAGGTGCTTATTTTAATGGTTTAGAAGAAAATCTAACTAGCACATCAGACCCGTGAATTCACAGACAGGGCTAAGCAAAAAAGTGAATTGTCACAAAATCTATTTAAATAAAAACAGTAAGCAAATAACACTGTGGTGGCATGCAGAGGTGGCAATAAGTAAGGTCCCTGGCGATATCTTTAAGAGTCCAGTCTGGAAACCATGGGTCAGGTCAGCAAATATCCTCCAGAGATAACCTGCGGCTCTCAATCTCCCAAGGGAGAAGGGGCTCAGGAATGTGGCCTTGCCTCCTCTCCTGTTTGCCTTGGGGCTCCCGATTGTTGGGGTTCTTTCTTCCCTCAGGGCTGTACCCAGCAGGGGCTCAAGGGTCCAGTTCCCAAGAGCCTGGCTGCGGCTTGGACTTTCTGTGGGCAAAGGGGCTGGGGTCCAAGAGCAAGGAGGCTCAGGGGGCTCCATTTGCTTCTCCCAAGAAGTTTCTTGGATCCTTTCCTAGACACCCATGGTGCTTGCAGTTTACAGAGACACTAACCCTTGCCTGCAGGGTCATATGATGCTAACTGGTGGCACATAAGAACAGCTGCTAGATGGCAGCTCGGTAACCTTTCACCCTTGCCCTCCTCCTCAAGCCTCCCATCCTCTGGGTATCCCCCTGCCCAGCTCCTCAGTGGGGACCCACTGAGGGAGGCTGATTCTAGCCCTAAAATCAGTCAAAATTACAAACTTCCTGGCCAGGGCCAAATGAGAGCTGGTCAGTGTAGGGAGAGGAGTCTGGGGGGCAGCTGAGGGTCCCTCAGTCAGGGCTGGGGGCTTTCAACTCCTGATGGAGATGCTGGGCACATTAACAGGAGATGCTGAGGACTGTGACTCTGCTAGGCTCTGTCACCCTGGGTCCTGGGGGGCAGTAATGAAGGTTTGGGACCTGCTCTTTTGATGAGCTCCCTACCCCCAGGTCACCTTCCACATCAGAAGCAGATGCCCCTGGCTGGGTCTCCACTCCTGGGACCTCACCTGACACAAAGCAGACATCTGTAAATATGTGCTTAATAGTGAATTCTGGAACCCTGGGGAGGGTGTTGACCTGGGGCTACATCCAGGCAGGTGCAGATCACCTATGCTCAGGAATAGACGCTCCACAGACATCAACTAGACTTGTCACTGTCACCTTTACCTGATCTGGGAACCAACTCCATACTCAGCCTAGTAGCCAGAACCACAGGGCTGAAGACCCCCTTCACCAAACTCTCATGGTGGTTGCAGCTCTGACTCGGGGGGCAGGCATCTGTATTTGAGGACACAGGGTTTAAGGAGCTCTGGATCATCTGAGTGCTTTGGTTTATTCCAGATGACCCCAACAGCAGCCCCCCAACACCTGGCCAGACCCTCCTGTGGCTTGTGGTACCATCCCTATTGGTCCTGCCTGATTCTTTCCTCCTGGGTTTCTCTGTTGACACAGGACACTTGTGAAAACTGCCCAGGGTGACATTTTGGGCAGGAGGAAGCCCAAGCCCCAAAAGGCAAAGTCTCCTGGCTCTGAGAGGCCTAGTTGGCCCTAACCCCTGTCCCTATATGAGTTGCTACCAAGCAAGGCCAGGTCACATCCGGCCCAGTTCCATCTGCCAATCCTCCCTTTGTCTCTGAGGGAAATTGAACCCCCTGCGAATAAGCTCCTGGCCAACCCCTGACTCAGGACCCCCTTGAACTGGTAGCTTGGAGTCCATCTGTGCAGTCAGTATTAGGGCCAGGCTTTGAACCCCCCTCGCAACGGGACAACTCAGTTCAGTGGACACCAGGGTCATGACATCAGATGCTCATCATCAGTGGCTATAAAACACATCTCTGAAGCCTTTGATGCATCTCCTCTAAGAGGGAACTCGACTCCTCACCCTTGTGTGTGGGCTCCGAATGAACTGGCAGAGGTGACAGCTTGGAGGCTAGGTCATAACAAGGCACATGGTTCCTCAAAAGGTTAAATGGAGTTCCCATATGACCCAGCAATCCCGCTCCTAGGTACATACCCAAAGGACTGAAAGCAGGGACTCACATACCTGTGCACCCCTGTTCACAGCAGCACTATTCACAACGGCCAAGAGGTGGAAGCAGCCCAAGTTTCCATCGACAGATGAATAGATAAACAAAATGTGGTACCTCCATGCAATGGAATATTATTCAGCCTTAAAAAGGAAGAAATTCTGACAAATGTACAACAGGGATGAACCTTGAGGACATCACAAGTGAAATACGCTGGTCACAACAAGACACTATGGCTCTACTCTTCTGAGGTCTCAAGAGGAGTCAGACTCATAGAGACAGAAGGTAGAATAGCGAGTGCCAGGGGCTGGGGGACAGGGTGTTGTTTAATGGGGACAGTTTCTCTTGACAGAAGATGAAAAAGTTTTGGCTATGGACAGTGAGGAGGGCTACACAGAATTGTGAATGTGTATGCCACAGAACCGCATGCTCACAAAGGGTTAAGATGATTAACATTATATTATGTATATTTTATCATAATTTCAAAAAAGGCATTATACTTCTTTTTCTTTTTGTATCCTTCCTTCTCTGTCCCTATCTCACACGTTCACTCCATCTCTGTCAGTCCATCTCTGTCCCTTGCTGTCCCTCTGTCTGTCCCTCTTTCTCTCTTTCTGATATGTTTGGAAATGTCATCCAAAGGCCCATGTATTGAAGGCGTGGTCGTCAGCTTGTGGTGCTACTGGGAGGTGGTGCGACCTTTAAGAGGTGGGGCCTCATGGGAGGAAGTCAGGTCATTGGGGGTGTGCCCTTGAGGGGATATTGGGACCCCTTTCTTATCTCTCTCCCCCCCCCCCTCTGCTTCCTGCCTATTGAAAGGTGAATAGACTTCCTCTGCCATGATCTTCTGCCTTGCCACGGGCCCAAAACAGCAAGGCTAAGCAGACTGAAATCTTGTAAACCATGAGCCAAAGGAAATCTTTCTTCCTCATAAGTTGACTAGCTCAACTTTTGTCAGAGCAAGGAAGAACAGACTAACATGTTGTCCTTCTGTCATCGCTGGCTCTGGGGAGCCTGCTGCCATGTTATAACTCTGGAGATGCCTGTGGGAGGGGCTCAGGCCCCAGCCAATAGGCATGTGAGGAGCCACCTTGGGAGCATAGCCTGAGGCTCTGATCAAGCCCTTATAAGTACAGCCCTGGCATGTCTGCAGTCCTTAGAAGCCCAGGCAGGGCCTGCAGCTGTGCAGCTATCCTGGGCACCCAAGAGGTTGCTGCTTTGAAAAAAAAAAAAATATCTTCACTGTTGCTTTTTTGAGAAAAAAAACAAATCTTTTTTTTGTACTGAGGATTGAACCCAGGGGCGCTTAACCACTGAGACACATCCCCAGGCCCCCTTTTAAATTTTGAGACAGTGTCTCACTAAGTTGCTTAGGGGCTCACTAAGTTGCTGAGGCTAGTTTCGAACTTGTGATCCTCCTGCCTCAGCCCCTTGAGTTGCTAAGGTTAAAGGCATATGTCACCACACCTGGGTGAAATTCTTAATAATTTTTGAGCAAAGGGCCCACATCTACATTTTGTACTGGATCCCACAAGTTGTACGGCAGGCCTGCCAGTCTGCTGAACTGCTACTGAATGCACAGAAGCTGTTAACCTGTGTGAGGGGCACAGATTGTGGGGTCATTTGTTCTGACGCATGGTGAGCCAACAAACTTGTAAAACCACCCTATGAAGGGGTGGGGGATTTACACGCCTTTCTACAAATGAAGGGTCTACCCCCAGAGCTATGGCTGGCCTCTGCCTTTCACTCCAAGCAGGCTGCCTCAGAAAAGAGGGGACTTTACAGTTTATGCCAGTTTCCCTTATGAATCATCCCAGTTCCTCCTACTAGATCCCTGGGAGAGAGGCAGGAACATCTCCATGTTCAAAGGAGGAAACTGAGGCCCTTCCTAGCCTGGCACACAGCTGCTGCCTGACTTAGCCACTGAGCAGAACTGCCCCTCTCAGAACTGCACCCAGCACCTGCTCTTGTGGCCCAGGAGAGCCTATGAGCAGCTTTCTGCTCAGAGGTGGGGCCGGTGCCCCTGAGGGAAGGCTAAAGATACCCCACAAGGGACAAGTTCCTCTTGTCTCCCCTTTGTGTTCCCTCCCACTCCTCGGAGAGTTTCTGGATCTACAGAGAAGACTGTGTGACCCCTGAAGCCTTGGGTCTGCCTCCTCTGTGTTCTGGAATGTGCTGATCTTGAGTCCCTAATCAGCTACTCAAGCCGCTGCAAGGACCTCCAGTAGTCACTCCTCCCCTGGCCCAGACTGGAAGCAGGGACCATCCACTGCTCAGATCCAACCCGGAACCACACCCAGCATCCAGCCAGGGCAGAGAGATGTCTTATTGAAGAACTGTCCAAAAACGCCAACCCAAAGAACACTTGGTCCTCTCCTCTAAGTAAAGGGATTCCTTCAAATATGCTCAGAAGGGTGACTTGCCCTTGGTTGGTGCTCAGCAGACATAGTAGTGGGGATAAATGGAGAGCCAGGACCAAGGGAGTGAGGGAAAGGGTGCTGGCAGAGTAGAGTGGGAGGTGATGTCTTCCAGGATCCTCAGGAAGGGGAGCCCAATAGTGAGCTGCTGGTGCCCAGTGGGCCTGAAGTCCACTTAAATGCTGCACTAAGATCCCGACTCCTGAGCCTGCCCAGAACTCTTGAGTTGGACTCTCTGGGGCAGGCCCAGGAATCTGCATTATCAGTAAGAACAAGACTCTGTGACTGAGATGGAGAGACTGAGATTCAGAAACTGTGGACCAAGGCTGGTGACCTGCTGAAGCCCCACAAATGGGAGATGTGCCTTTCCCATTCAGCTCTTGGTTTGGGACATGGGGAAACTGAGGGTGCCCCCTATTCCAGAGGACAGCAGCAGAGATTCCCAGCACCAGCTCTCCTGGAGCCCCTGTGGCCCACTGGGACCCAACATGGCCAAGGCAGATCCTCCTCTTCCCTCTCTACTTCAGTGGGTTGGAAGGGGATGTGGATGTCCCAGGCTCCCAAACTGGCTGCTTCTCATAGCCCCTGGGTGTTTCTTTTAAACACAGATTCCTGGGACCTATCTTAGCAAAAGAGAATAAAGCTTTGGAGGGAGGAGCCCAGGAACCCACTTAATAAACTCCAGGTGCCTCTGCGGCCAGCCTGAGCCCTCCACTGGCAGAGAGCAGCTGTCACCTCCAAGGTGTTTCCAGCTACTCCCCAGTGTGGGCAAGGGCTGAGTTCCCAAGCTCTTCAGGTGCCAGAGCCAGGGAAGGTAAGGGGCAGACAGGACCAAGTGACCTGGGGAGATATGAGCCAGCTTCCTAGGGACTGCTCAACCGGGTTTTTGGGGGTCTGCTCAACAGCTCCTAGAATTGTTATTTATCACCCAAACATAGGACTTGTCTGGGGCTTCAGGAAGGAGACTGGCAGACAGTGCCGCTGCACTTTTTGAGGGCCAAGACACAGCTGGGGGCCAGGACCCTGTTAAAGTCTTGGCCTCCATCTAACCCAGATGCAGGCAGGAGGGCTACTGGGTGGCTCCCTTGCCTACCTTTTTCCTGGCAAGGCCAACAGTCCCGATGCTGAAGACAGGACCAGCTCAGCCCAGGCCCCCAGGAGCCCTCCCCCTGTGCCCAGCCAGTGCGGCCTGGACAGCCCATCAGACCCATGTTCTGGGCTCCAAAGACCCTGAGGAGTTTTGTCAAAAATATCAGCCTCCCGCCCTCCTTAGGGGCTGCTCACCAATGTTGGAATGCTTCAGCAGGCGGCAGATCCGAGCCTCTCTCTCCAGCTTCTGGTGATCTGGGGACACAGAGGACAAGGTGTCACCTTGTGCCCCACTAGCTGGGGACTCAGGGTTCCATTTCAGAATAGACTCATGAGGGTTGTAGCAGCTGCCAAACAAGAGAGGATGGGGACATGCCCACCCACTGCCTGGCCTCTGGGGTGCCTGTCCAGCTGTCTTCACCTGCTGAAGGGAGAAGCAGGGTGTGAGCACCTGCCGGGCCACCAGCTGGCAGGTCTGGGCAAGGCAAGTTGCAGGTGCCTGGGGCAGAGACACCCATGGGAGGCACCAGGTAGACTAACTTGAGGGCTGAAAGTTTCCAGGCATTATTCAAAGAACAGGAAATGCCATGTGTTAATAGCGCACTGATTTAATCCTTCACTTATTTGTCCTAATCCCATACTCTTTGGAACTTTCTGCTGATCCAAATTTGTTCTTCCAAGACAGTGGTGGGATGTGCTGAACAACCCATCTGACAGGTTGGGAGTGGGGAAACGTGTCCTCCTCAGAGCCCAGAGCCCCCTGACGGCTCCCACCCATACAAGGTGCAGGGTCTAGACTGGCTCTGGGTGGGCGGACCTGAGATGAGCAGTCACTGGGCACCTGGATCCCCCCCCTCAAGCAGTCCCTCCACAGGACCCTCAAAGATTGGAGCAATTTGTTAGCCAGAAACTTCCAACAGAAGTTCCAGGAGGATTTAAAAAGCTGAAGGAAATTGTAATAGCAAAAACCATAAACCCACATGTGACAGAAGAAGGGAGTGCTCCACTGTGGCTCTGCGGTGACAACAGAATACGGTGCAGCAAGGAAACAGAGTCCCCCAGCTGTACCCACACCCCAACCCCCAACATGGTGCTCAGGGCAAAAGCAGCAACCAAGGAGTGTCCAAGATGTGCTTCAACATACATCAAGGTCAAAACCAGGCATATCACTGAGCCACAGACGTGTGGGGGGTAGCTGTGAAGAAAGGTAGGTGGATTTTCAGCACTCAGGACAGAGGCTGACTCCCTGATGAGACTGGGAGGAGGTGAACCTGTCTAGAACCTCTACCCCTGCTGAGCAGGGTAAGTGAGCACACAATTAAAATGCCCATAAAGGTGAGCACACAATTAATATGCCAATCAGGATCACAGGTCCTCCTTTACCAACCTGGGAGCTCCTCCCAGCCCCATCGGCAGGAGAGGAGGGAAGGTACCAATTAAAAAAGGATGCTCAAAGGCATTCAAACCAGTCTACAGGCCTATAGTCCCTAGAGGGTGCACAGGGGAAAATCACCCACCTGGCCTGGCCGAGGCATCTCTGGTCTGTTGCACTGGAGCGAGCATGGCGTAGTGTAGGGATGGAGGCCAGACATGCAAATATGTATGTGCCTTTCCCCAGGGCAGCAGTGCCTGCAAACAGGCATGTCTCTGGGACGTGTCCAGAGGGCTTTCCTTCATTCCCCCAGGACAGATCCTTGAGCCACCCTGCCCTGCACACCTGGGTCCCATTTGCTTTCAGCCCAGGCACCTGGTATCCCAAACAGAGGGACTAGCCAAGCCTCCAGGTGGGTGGAGTCAGACCCCATCCCAGTGTGCTGCCAGAGGCCCCTACATCCCCACTCCCTCACCTGTACATCTGCCACAGCAAACACCGTTCTTGTCTTCCAACATAACACCCAAGTCCCTGCTGAAATGGAAGCTAAGGCACCCAGAAACGCAGCTGAGTTATTCACAAAGAGAAGTCTATGGGGTGGTGGAGAGGTGCAGCCAACAGCTGGGAGGACCTTCTGGCTGCCCCAACCACACCTGTCATGAGGACAAGTCACAGATGAAGACAGAGAAAAACCTAATGTCTCCAGGACTGAAAGACCCATCTGGTGATGGTCAACCTTGGAAGTAGTTTAAGGGTCGGCCCCATTCTCTGATGTGAAGCTTAGAAAGGGAAATCCTGAATCCACACCTTCCAATTGCTCAGTCGTGGTGAGACAGCATCCCAAACCAGGCAAGGTCATGTGTGCGTGGGTCTATATTTAAGTAAAAAGGTGACTGACAGACGGACTGGCTCATTTACTTTGGCAGCAGTCCTACACACACACATATGCAGACACACACACTTGTGCACACACATTACACACCTGCTCCCCAAGGGGGCTGGCTCAGAGCAACTTGGGCAAAAGATGTGCTATTTATTCCTCCTACTAGAGAAACATCCCACAGATATAATACAGTGTTCATTTATACCCCCATAAAAGCACTTATCAAAAAAAACAAAAACAAAAACAAAAAAATGCCAAAAACAATTTTACTCAAAGATCAGGCTAAACTGGAGCCTGCAATTATCCGCCTGCCTGACTGAATTCTAATGATAGCACAACGTCCCGAGATTCCACCCTCGGGGAATGCCAAGGCCTGGAAGCTTTTCTAGGTGATTCTGCCATGATCTCAGTGTACAGCCTTGGCTTGCTGAGGCACCCGCTCTGCCAGACCTATATCTTAGGTGCCCCTGAGGTCAGCAGTATGCATGGGGCCCAGTGCGGGGGCAAGGCTCAGGAGCTACAGAAGGACAAGGGAAGGGAAGTGGCCCCAGCCAAGCCCTGCACACCCACGCTGAGTGACTCATGGCAGGGTTATCAGTAGCTCCTGCAGAAGACACCCCCATGCACCAAGCAGAGCGGGGCCTCAAAGTCAAGGCCTTCTCTTGATGCTCTTGGGCTCTGTGATGAAGCCCTCAGTTTGCATTCTATGCTCCTCTGTGGGCTGGTGGGTGGTGTGTGCCTAGAGGCCGTAGCCTCCACACACTGCAAATGTTCACTCCTGCAAATGCCGCCATAGGGGCAGCAAGGCCAATGTGACGGAAGAAAAGGAGACAGCCCAACACTCGAAAAGGACAGGTGAGGGTTGCGAAAAGGCTACCCTTCTCCCTCATCTCTCAGCCTTTTGAAAATCAGAGTGGGACCCCAGACAGCACCTACAGCAGAAGCCAGACTACAGCAAACCACTCATGTCTGTGCCCACCTGGATATCACATCAACTAAGGCTCCAGCCACCTTGCAGGAACAGGGACCACAAGGCTCCAAGAATGGCCACTTCTGACCTACAGGCCTGGAGGACTTGGCATGAAGTTCCCAGGGGCTGATGAGGGGAGCAGAGGCTCCTCTGGGCTGTTACTGTCACCCTGAAGATGATAGGAATAGGGGCCGCCCCGAGTTGTCCAAGGCCAGGACACAGGCACAAGGCACGTGACTGTCCTTCTGGAGCACCTGCCACACAACAGGCACCATCTGTTCTGTGCAAGTTACAGGCAATAACCTGTTTAATTACAGTATGCCCTGAGAGGCCAGAGTGGCCAGGGAGAGACCTCAGATGGAGTCCCCCTCACCTGCCACACCTCCCTCTCTCAGCAACCCGTGCAATGGGTGCCCTGAGGAGGGGTTCCCTCAGGTGGTGTCTCCTCAGGCCACCTGGGGCTCCCTCAGGGGGTGTCCCTCAGTCTGGGTCAGCTCATGGGGTTTCCTCACGGTGGTCTATTTCCGGTGAGGTCACTTGAGCTGAGTTAGGCACAAAGAGAAGTCTATGGGGGCAGTGGAGAGGTGCAGTTGGCAGTGGGGAGGGAATCCTGGCTGCCCCAACTGCACCTGCAGCACGAGGACAAGTCACAGATGAGGACTGAGAGTGGTTCAATGTCTGCAGGTCTGAAAAGCCCAGGATGAGGGCCTGGGGGCAGGAGGGGCAGTCCCCATTTGACATCCCAAAGACAGGCCAGTGTGTGGTTCCAGGGACTCCTATGTCCTGAGGGATGGCACTCAGAGGTCATGATCACAGGGCCAGAGGACAAGCTGAGGTAACATTTTTAGTGAATCTCTGTTGGTCATTCTCCATAATTTCCTTTTCCTTTATCCAGAGTGAAGAGGTGTTAGGGGTGGAAAAGTGGAGGTTCCCTGGCCCACGCCAGGCCCCCAGCACTAAGTTTCACTCTCATGCCCCCATCTGCTCTCTGGCAGGGGTGACTCACAGCAGAGAGGGGTGGGGTGGTGAGAGGAGCCAGCATGCAGGGGACAGGAGGGATGTGGGTGGCACCCAGCCCTGCCAGCTGCAGGCTGTCATGGGAGGACACTGGGTGGAGTGGAGGAAGGGCAGGATGGGGAGAAGTGAGGCCTACCCACACCCGCACCCACCGTGCACAATCTCAGCCTCTAGGATTGTGGGGATCAGAGCCTGTGGAGAGGTGGGGGTGGGAGCTGTCCCAATCAGGGTCGCCTGGGACCCGAGCCCACATGGAGCTGCACAGATGCTGTAAGTCCTGCCTGCTTTGTAGCCTAAAACAAGTGATGCCCACTCTCCAGGCCTCATCTAGATGTTGGGAACAATATGATGTCTGGTCCCAAAGTATTGTGCTGGACTCAGCATGAAATTGTGTGTGCAGGGTACCCACCATGTCTAGCTCATGGTAGATGCTCAAGGATATACTCACTCATCCTGTCATCCCTGCCTCACCCCAGGATGCTGCTAGCAACCCCCAGAGATCCCTTCACTGGGGAGCCCCTGCCAGTACCAGAGGGTCTCAGGCCCTGGAGAGATGCTCAATGATAGGCAGCCTGGCTGGGAAGAGCCCAGGGACATGGACCTTCTGGTGGGAGCAGCAATAAGGCCCTATTCCAGCTGTCCTGGCCTGGACTTGGGAGGGTAGGGAGGGCCTTTCAGTGGCTGTCAAGGCTCTACTCCCCCAGTCTAAACCAGCCCCTGCAAGTGTGAGCCCAAAGCCAATACCATCAAGGCTGAGGAGATGCAGGTCCACTTGTGTGTCAGCCTCTGGTGGTAGGGACAGTAACTAGAGGTACCCCAAAAGCCAGGGTCATATTCCAGGACTCAGGCCCTGCCAGTAAACTGGGACACAGCTCAACACTGAGGTCTGGGATGAATGGCCAAAAATTTGCAGTTCATCTAAATCTCACTGGGGGCCTTAGTTTAAAAGGGTGAGGGCAGCATTGCTGTTCCCATGCAAAGGAGATAAGGGCCACAGCAGAGAGGGACCCTTC